TTACTCGGCACTCAGGAAGTCATGGAAGCCGTCTCCACGGAGAAGAAAACGGCAACCCCTGCCAGGTCTTGGACGAGGCAGATGAGGAGATTCTCATGTGGGTCCATGAAGGAATTCTTGAGGCAAACGAGGAAGCCACCCGGGAGGGACGGCCGAAGCCCACTGCTTTCACTGATGAAGAGATCAGCTCCATTGTGCCCGTTGACCCAACTGTCGAGGACTACGAAACCGAAGAAGTCAGGGCCCGACACTATCTCCAAGAAGATTTGAATCAGGCCGCTGCTGATGGTTTCTCAACCACGACCATTGAGTCAATCGAGATCAACCCGGAGAACACTGACGTTGAGGACGATGTTGAGGTTGTTCCTGAATATGACGAGTGGGACGTGATTGTTGATGAGAAGATCATTGTCAACCCCCATGACGAAAAGGTCAAGGAAGATGCCATCTCGGAGGAAAGAGCCAAAGAGGTTGAAGATCTCAACAAGATCATTGAGATCACATCCACTGAGGCGAAGCCATCGGGAACGACGGCCATTGTCCATGCTGCCGCAAAAGAAGCACTTGCCAAGGCCGACAAGGAGGGGGAAGACATGACTTCATCAAGAATTTCAACATGGAGTGTGGTTGGTGATGATGACTCCAAGCCCGGTGACATGACATCTTCCAGGATTTCGTCTTGGTCTGAAGTTGGTGGAGCTGGGGCAACTCCCATGGATGTTGACGCTGGGAAGAAGGATGATGATGCTGCCCGGGAGGGTGTGCCGACTGCCACTGCAAGTTCTGATGTTGCTTCATCTTCTGCAGGACCCGCTGACGACAAGACTGAGATTGTCGATCTTACCAAAGCTGTGAAGCAGGTGGAGGTTGACAAGCCAGTTGGAAAGCCGGCCGAGAAGAAAATGCCGAAGAGCGAAAAGCAGAAGGCGCCGGAGTCAAAGGCGATGCCCAGACAGAAGGCGCCACGACTCAGTGTCGAAGCTGATGCAGCTCTTCGCAAACTTGAAGAAGCAACAGAACGCCAAGAGGGTGCAGTGTGGTTGGACCCCAATGACATGGCCAACAGGATCCCCAGGGAGTATTGCGGCCAAGGGCGCCTGAGATTTCTTTCAACGAAGTTATCTTACGTTCTGAGGGGACATGCATTGAGCTATGGTGCTCGCAGCCCGGACATCGGTCCTATGGATATGTCCATGGATTTCGATGCCGTTATGAAGACCATGGCTCACTACGTCTCCTACCCGAAGGTGAGTGAGGTCCTGTCCATCGTGCGCAACAGTGACACCAGGCGCTTTCAGGTGAAAGTGGCTCAGCCCGACTTGCCTGATGCAACCTGGAAGGGTTTGCCATGGAAGGTTGTTGCCATCCGTGCTGTCCAAGGACACAATCGTGCCGTCGTGGAAAATGCCAAAATTTCCTCGCTGGTGAAGCAAGTGTTTACCTTGGACCCAACCTTTACCAAAGAAGACCTCGACACTCCAAAGTTGCCCAGGACAAACCTTCGGCCAGATTTGGTGCCCGAGATGTTGGCTGCACTTCCAAGGGTCATCTACCATAGCTGTGACCGTCTCGCTATGGAAAAGATTGTTGAGCATGGTCTCATCCCAGGTGGCTGGCCCCAAAGAACGGGAAGGGCGCACAATTTCTTCATCGCGTCGCACCCGTGGGACGACTCAGTCGGGGGAAAGAAGCTGGCGGGAACGCGAGCCGGAAAGCAATATTACATTGCCTTTGACACCGAGCTCATCGTCCAAAGCGGCTGCAGATTGTTTCGCACCGACGAAGCGATCATTAGTCCCGACTGGGTGTCCAATGAAAACATCATATGCACATATGATTCCATCAACCGCGAGTTCGCCTGGGTCAACCGCCCCTACGAGATCACTCGTGTCGGCTACAACGCCAAGATGAAGAACCATCGCGACCAGGACACTCCGAAGAGAGAAGCATTGTCGAAGAGCCCATACGCCAAGGCACGGGACAGCTTGAAGTCGTACCTCATGAGCGGCAAGTCCATCCGACCTGGTGAGATGCAAGTGACGGATTCTCCGGAAGAGCTTCCTCCACTTCTTCGTCGACGAGAAGGAACTTCAGGACCCTTTGAGGACAAGTTGACGTTGAAGATGGCGTCCTTTGGTGCCTTGTCAAATGCAGAGACCATTCGCAAAGGCAAGGGCCGAGGAAAGGGCAAAGGGAAAGGAAGCCGCCCGGGAGGGCAGGCCCAGCGCTCAACCAATGCTGAAGATTACATCTACAGCACAAAAATTGAGATGCAGCAGGTCCGATGCCACTTCTGCGGTGAGAGGAACATTGAGGGCACTCACAAGTGTCAATCATGCTTCAAATGGCTGATTGCTTGGTCGGATGGGAGGATCGCAACAGAGGTATGCCGGATGGAAATCTCGGCCAAGAAGACCAACAAGGTGTTTTCTCTGGACAAAATCGATTTTGAGAAGCAGCCTCGAGCTCAGCGAGTGTCGGACCGCACACGAGCAGACCAACGTCGAGCTGGACGAAGCAATTTCGGAAATCTCAAGGACGCTGCTCAGACCCATGCGGGAAGATACACAAAGCTCGGGTTCAAATCGATCCAGGACCGCATGGAGAAGGATCCATTTTATTTGTTTAACAATGCGGTCGGCCAGATCACTCCTGATTGTTGCCAGTTCTTGGAGGACTTGGCAAAATGCATTGCCCCTGATGTCGGCCGTACCCGAGAGAAGCGAGAAAAGCAGCTGGGAACAGGTGTCAGCACTCGTTTGATTTTTATGCCAGACTTCAACAGAGATATCCGACTTCCACTGGATGTCACAAAGGAAGCAATGGTGGCACATCATGCTCGAGTGTTTACACTTCCTCAGTTTGCTGTTCTTGCTGCGGACTTGCTGAAAGCGAGGGGGGAACCCACGCCGATGTTGTTTGGTTGGTCAGGCTCAATGATGCCTGTTGATCAACAATCTGCTCAGGATTGCTTCTTCGACCTTGTCGACTTTGCAAAACGTCAATGGAATGAGCAGTTTCACAACATCAAGGGCGAGGAGCACTCCCTGGTGGAAGAAGCCACGGCATCTGACGTGGCTGAGTTCCCATTGGCGAGGTCCACCAAGACGGGTACTGGCGAGGGGCGAGAAGGGTACCGGCGTCACTTTGACCCGATCCAGAAGCCAGCCAAGGGCAAAGGCAAGGGGTTTGGTCAACAGCAACGTCCAATCTTTCAGCAAGCCATTGAATGCTGGAAGTGCGGTCAGTATGGCCACAAATCCTTTGAGTGTCGCAGTGGATGGAACCGACGGCAACAATGGGATTCATATGGATCTTATTCAAGCCGCTTGGGAGGGCAGGCCCAATGGCAGAGCTGGAATTGGAGACAGGGCTACTCTGGCAAGGGTTGGACAGCTGATGACTGGGGAAGATCTACTGCATCAAGTTCCTCGGCAGCGCCTCCAGAGCCAGTGCACCCACCATCAACAGCAACGCCTGTGCCTGATTCAGCCCCCACTGCTGGCGCTTCTGCTCAGGCAGCCACTGGATCAGCTCCGACTACGGAGCAACCACAACAGGTGCCGCGAATGCCACTTCTGGTTGCAGAAGAATACTGTGAGATCAACGGCCAGCCGCACTTCAAGCGCACCTACAATGATGGGACGGTAGAGTATGAGTCGTGGTAGGTGTTTCACCTCATGTGCCATGATTTTATGCCTGCCGGAAGGTTTGGCCGATTGGATGAAAGCTGACCCATGGTCATTCAGTTCAATCAAATTGCACACATCTCCAAAATTGAAAATTCCAACTTGATTAACTTGAAAACGTTTCCCAATTGATTCAAAGAGATTGACACCAGCATCCGATCCAATACAGTAGATTGCGTGTATATAGCCGTGTGCATTAGCCTGCTACAGTAGCTTCTAAGTTTCCAGGGCAGTAAAGGAGTGGTAATGCTCCTATGCCTTGGCGGAAGCCAGGCCGATGACACTTTTGCTATGTCCGACACGTGCAATGCCTGGGATCGTTAAAACCATTTTGCATTCGACCTTTTGCCTCATGCATCCGTGAGCTATGAGCACCCGCAACACGTTAGCTAGTTGACAGTGATTCCTTTGTATTTCACCTCGTCCTCTCTCAGGTCACTTCTGGAGGACGTTCACTCTCCGCTCTCCGTGAAACTTCGGGGCGGCGGGGGGTGTTGTTTATAGGTTTCACTGGATACACCGTGTTGCATTGGCTCAAGAAAACAGAGTGTGCTAGCTGGTTACTTGTGGCTAGTTAACCTGTCAAACAAACATCATTGAACATCATTAAACATCATTAAACATCATGAACCATCATTAATTAACCATTAACCATCATTAATGAACCATTAACCATCATTAATTAACCATTAACCATCTTTAATTAACCATTAACCATCATTAATTAACCATTAACCATCGTTAATTAAACATTAACCATCATTAATTAACCATTAACCATCATTAATTAACCATTAACCATCATTAATTAACCATTGAACATCATTAATCATCATTAACCATCATTAGTTAACCATTAAACATCATTAACCATCATTAACCATCATTAACCATCATTAACTATCATTAACCACCATTAACCATCATTAACTATCATTAACCATCATTAACCATCATGAACCATCATTAATTAACCATTAACCATCATTAATTAACCATTAACCATCATTAATTAACCATTAACCATCATTAATTAACCATTAAACATCATTAATTAACCATTAAACATCATTAACCATCATTGGACCCTTGTGGAAAGAGATTGGGAGTCCACAAGTCCAGTACGAATACTACAAATTTCATCCAATATTGCAATTGCAGTGACAGAGCATGCAATATGTTTGCACTTTGAAATTTGAGTTTGTGCATCATTCATGGTCAGATGTTGGTACCTTCACGTCTCAATAGATTTTACGGCATGGTGAATGTGATACTTTTTGGCGATGTTTATATGGATTTTGTCTTGGCGAGGTACCGTGAAAACCGGAGCCGGAAGTTTTCGTGAGGAGGCGCTCGCAGACACGAAAACTGCACAAAAAAAATCTGCACGTGGCTTTGTATCAACAGACGATGGCAGCTTTCGAGCTGCAGATTTGCCTGCAAAAATCAAGGCTAGGCACCACTTTGAAACGGCCCGGGAACCTGATTCAAGAAGCCACGGGGGAGGATAAGTCTGGCAGCCAATGGGTCTTGGAGCCGAAGCGGTTTGTTGGAGACTGCAACATTTTAATGTGGTACAAACCAGGTACAAATCGTCAGCTAAACATTAAATCAATTTCCAAAAATTTTCCTGCTGAGTCTTGAAGTCTTGAATCGAGTTCACTCTAGCAGATCTAGCAGACCCCCGCGACCCCCCGAGGGCTTCACCTTGCACAACTTGAAATTTGACGAGATTTACCATTTTTTTGCAGCTCACTAATGATTAATGATGATTATATAATGGTTAATTAATGATGGTTAATGATGGTCAATGATGATGTCACTAGTCACTGCAAAACTCTTTGGATGACCTGTCGCTTTGCAGAGTGTCGAGCGGCAAAAACATTGGTTTCCACGTTGAGGTACAGAGTTCTCGAAGCGTGGCTTTGAGGCTGGGCTTGCCACCTAGAGGATTCCAAACATTTAGACATTTTTGAGCCAAAAACCCTATGATCATTTTGCAGTGTGGTAGTTACGCTAGTATGTTATAGTAACTCTAGTCATCGCAATCGGAGTCATGATAGTGTCATGACGTCATGGTGTTCTGAGTCATCTCTTTTTGAACTTCTCTTGTGGTGGCAGCTGCTTCTTTGGCGTATCGCGCCGTGCAAAGCTGCAAAGTGTGAGAGAATCAGAAGTGCTGCACAGTAAGCCCCAACGTGGCTCCAGTGCGGCTTTACCGCGTCAAGGCACAAATTCAGAGTATGGACTTGACATGACTTGAACATCTTGAAACAAAATGTCTAAGCTGGTGAGGAGGGTCGGTGTTGCTAAAGAATGAGAAAAGTGTTTTGCTCTAAAGTCTGCCAAATTTCTGAAACACTGAGCAGTTCCTTTCGCAGGTCATGTCCATTCATGAAAAGATACAACGTGGATCTGTTGGTTCGGAATTTGTTCCTTGACAGCACCCGATGGCAAGGGATCCGCAGGGCCCTCGCCTTGTGCTTGCCTAGTCGCATTTGAGTCGGCTTCCACAGCACTTCCTCAATTTATAGAGTCATTGTCATAGTCATACAGAGCTCCGCAGAGATTTAAGACCTTGAAAGGTATTTTTTTAAGCCTCTTGTGGCTAAATGTGTCCTAACTGAGACCAAAGATGGCCAAGGAACATTAGACCAACACGGTACTTGTATGATTTGAATATACTGGTACTAAATTTCAAAGCAAAGGCAGAAATCTCTGACAATTTGGCGACCTGGCTGGGCCTTTCAACGCTGTAAAGGCCAGCGCCACTTGCGCACGCACTGTGCTACTGCGCTTTGATCGATTTATGGCCTTCACAGGCAGCCGCCACGGCCGGCCACGGCCTTGCCCGATTTGTACAAAGGCGGTGACAATCACCACACGGTTCTTGGTTCTTTGAAATATTTCGAATTCGGACTCTTTTTGTATCTTTTTGTTCCTTGCTTTGCGAAATGCGTGAATCGTTTTCTTGGCAAGGCAGAAGTTTTTTTTTCATGATCTGGTGTATTCGAATTTGGAGACTGAGATCCGGAGTGCTTCGGATTGGTTCCAAGAGCGGTTTCAAATGGGGTGCCTGGGCCCGTGCAAACTTCTCGGTCAGGGACGTCGCCTTTTTGGATGTCCACTGGCCGTCATTTGAATGCTGGGCGTCCGACTGGTGTCTTCCGTTTCAGGCCTGGACGCCCCAGGCGGAGTTTTACGATGGTGAGGCAATGCAAAGGGGGCAAGTCTTTCACACCAATTTCATCCAATTTCTGTTTGAGGTGTTCTTGATAGCATAGATTCCAATTGATTCCAATTGATTCCCTGGATGTTGTTGCGAACATTGTACCTGTGCACCCTCCTTTTAAGCATTTCCATTTTCACCTGTGACAGAGCCTTCTTGAGCAGCCAAGGCCACTACAGTCACTAGAGTCGCTACAGTTCTAAAGCGTTCCAAAGAGTTCTGAAGAGTTTTAAAGAGTGTTTTGAAGGGTTTTGTGTCATTTTTGCTGCGAACATCTCGTTGACCCCTCAACGAGATTCAACAAGTCAGTCATGTCAACGAGTCACAGCGAATCGCCGTGGCATGCTGTGGCCTTGGACGGTTTCCACTCGAGCGAGCTCTAAAGGTACCGATTCGGGTACACGTTTCTCCCAGAAAGGGACCCACACAGGCACAACTGGGCACAACTGGGCCGTGGGCACAGCGCGTGCAGATCTTGCTTCGTCTGTGTCTCACGGGCTCATGGGCTCACGGGTTCATGGGCTCACGGGCTCACGCCTACGCTTTCACAACGCTTTGCCATGGAGAGTGAGCCCACCTTGTGGTGCAGTTGGGGGCGGGCTTTTGGCTGTGTATTGCCTCTGGCCCTCGACGTTGTACCACAGAAATGGTGAAAAATGTACGGCCTTTGATGGGTCCGAGCCAGCTCACGACAGAGAAAAATGGAACGGCCTGGTGTGCCAAGTTGCAGGATCTCCAGTCTATTCTTGGATGCAGAGACATACAAAATATAGAAAATATATAGATCAAATTGGCAGTCACTATCGTCTTGTACCATTCATAAAATATCATGAAATTCAATAAAATGCAAGGACTATTCAGCTTTGGCTCAAAGTCTATAGAACTTCCAGAGCTGCACGGGTGCACTCGGATAGTGCTGAGATCAGACCGTTGGAACCTGACCAGGGTTCCTTGGTTCGCACTTTCAGATCTTTCAGAGCGAGCCATCGAGGTCCATCATGAAATGTTCCAAGCAAATCGGCTTAAGCAACTTTAATATATTAATGGTATATTATCTTAAGCCATATATTAAGGATATTATCTTTAATATATTATTAATATCCTGGATCATTAATATATTATTAATATCTTAAGGATATATTATTAATTAATATCCTTAAGAATTCCTTAGATCATTTCGAATCCGTTTTCAAAACACTTTCGATGGATGCATTTTTGTGCTCGCACTCAGTTTTCATGGCTATGTTTCCCAAAGACATTGGAAGAAAAACTGCCTTGTTTGCATTTCTCTTGGAGTTCGAAACCTGAAACAAGTTTGGTTCCCTCATCACTTCCTCAAGGGGTGTCCTACCTGTCTTGTGCGGGTTCTGTTGAACAGGTAATTCTTGCGCAGGGAGCAGCTCTTCGACTTCAGGTGGGGAACGTTCGACTTGTTCTGTCATCTGCTGCGCTTCCAGCTGCTCATTTTACACAGTTTTACACGTCACCCGTCTAGAGGCATGGCGCTTCAAAGCTTTGTGGCCTCGCCCTCAGTGTTGCAGTGCACATTTCCAAAATACATGGTGCTTACCAATGGATCTCAGTACTGACCTGCTGCGCAGCTGCAATATCATTTTTTACAGAGCAAATGGAGGGAAAAAGATCCATGGTCATCCTGTTTTTCTGTGTTTTTCTCAAGTCTTGCTGAAAGCCTTTGCGGAGCAGTCTGTTTACAAGGCGCTGCCAGCCTCTCCTCCATCTGTCGCCACAGCGAATGGCCACACTTCAGGTCTTGCTTAGTCTTGTTTTCATCTTCCATGTTTTTTTTTTGCAGAGTCTGTCAGATATGAACGTGAAGACTTCCGAAGCAAGTGCTTCCATCAAACCGAGTTTTCTTCATCACTTTGGCCAAAGTCGCAGTCGGCAATCAGCATTCCTTTCCTAAAGGGCCAAGTGTGCTCAACTGCCATTAATTGTCAGTGTTTTTTCAGTGTTTGTGTTCTAGATGTTTTATAACCCAGCTCTTCATTGCAAAATATTGCAAAGCTGATCCGCCTGAACCTGTACAGCCTGTACAGTTTGCAGCCTGAATCCCCTCTCCACAGGTGTCACAGCACCGGTGACTTCTGACTCTGGTGCTGGTGCTGCCGCCATTGCAGGGATCAGTTTGGCATTTGGCCTAAGGTCCAAGAGGCAGGGCATGGCAGGGCACTAGCCGTCACTTCCCAGCACCCCACTAGGGGCTCAGGTGCGATGGTGCGATGGATTCGGTGATTTTTTTTCAAATGTCTTTCGCTGGTGATGTCATGTGATGTCTATGTCTGAGTCTATGTCTGAGTCTAAGTGATGTTTTACACATCTTACCCTCTGGTAAACTGTCCCATAACTATGGAATAATGGGAAAATCCACTATAAATGGCCATTTTCAATAGCAAACTGTTAGTCATTACCAGGCCGGGTACACTTACTAATTGCTGTTCGTCTGTGCCAGGACCCTGCGTCGTCAGATGGATCGGAAGAGGACAGTCACGAAGGATCCCTACAACCCAGAGTTCAAGGAAGCTTTTCAGTGCCTCGGTGCGAAACCTTGGAAACTGCTTTAAGGGAAGTTCAGAAAAAGGCGGCTACGTTGACGCCGCTGTTGGTTAGAATATGTTAGAATGAATATCAATGAATCATAATAGATCACCTTTGAAAATTCTCTAGATTGTATTCTGCAAAAATTGAAGGCTCAAGTAAGATTCGTCATTTTATAATCGGTAGGGTCATAGAGCTGCCATATCTGCCATGGGCTGCGTTGGATCGGTGAACGTTGACCATGATGCTTCACTCAGCTTCATGAAAGAGTGGCGGAGTGGAGGCAAGGGCAAAGACTTCCTTGTCATGGGCATCAAGGATCAAAATATGGTTGGAAAAGTTTACTTCAGTGGCGAAGCGACTTCAGACCCTGACTTGGTAGCGAGTTTAGATGCTGTTTTGAAGAAGACCCGCGGCGATGCACGCCGTGGCAGGGACGAGTATGATCACCTCTGGGATTTGGTGTGGCACAACACAAAGATGACCAGCGGTTATCAGTTCATGTCCATGAAGAAACCTTTTTTCCCCATTGGCAAAAACGTAGTCCAACTCATGGATGCATTGGGCACACATGGCTTTGTCCCCTTTGCTTCACCAAACTATGGAGGACCAGTTGGTGACAAGGCAAGTGTTGATTGGCCAATGATTATTTTGAAGAAGGACAGTGAGGGACTTTATAAGGCAGAAACCCTTTTCCTTGCTATGAAAGACCAGAATATTCCTGGCAAGCTGTGCGCCTGCGGTCCGCCTGAAGTAGTGGAGAAGCTCAAAAGTAATCTCACCAACGCCTTGCATCAACACTCCAAGGAAGTGCGTGTGGCCTTTGATGAGTATGACACTGCTAGCGAGTGGGACATTGTCTGGCAAAATACAAACATCACCTCTGGCATGCAAGCTTTTAGTCTTGCAAAACCCTATTTCCCCAAAGGCAAAGTTGTTCTATCTGTTCTGACTGAGATCTACAAGCTGGGTTGGGAACTGGTGTGTGGTCCAAACTTTGGTGGAAATTCTGTGGATTGGCCGTGCTTCGTCTTCAAGCGCTTGAAATCTAAAGCGGCGCAGCTTCCACTGGCTCCACTGGCTTTTGGAGCAATCAAAGATCAGAATATGCCTGGAAAGTTTTGTCTCAGTACAACAGCTTCACACCTTCAAGATGTCACAAAAACCATTAGTGAAGCATTGCGAAGGGTTAAAGGCAACGAAGGGCTGAAGGTTGAAAAAGATGAATATGATGCAGACCATGATCAAGTCTTGCGTAATACTTCCATTACCACAGGAATGCAGGCAGAGAGTTTCAAACGCTTGGCATGTTATAACATATTACAACATGTTATAACATGTTACATCATTTATTACAATGTGAGGCCCTCCAGTTATAAGTTGGTTTATAAGCCCCAGTAACTATAGTTATAAGTACCATAAACCATAGTTATGGGAGTTATGTTCACCAACTTAGCTATCGAACGGGGGCCTCACATTGTACATCATGTCAGAATCATGTCACAACTGGAAAACCATGGAAAACCGTCAGCCGGCCAAATCCTTAGGCCATTAACCCTGAGGCATTTTCCTTGCGGACGGCCTATTTCCCGCGAAACGACAGTGTCCTTGCAATCACCAGATCTATGGGCGAGAAGGGTTGGAAACTGGCTGCATGTCCCATGTTCGGTGGTATGGGTGCTTCTTGGCCTTGCTTTGTTTGGCAGTACACGGGCAAAAAGATGCAGACTGCTCTTGTTGCGATTAAAGACCAAAGTTGGCCCGGAAAAGTTTGCGTGGGTGGTGTCGAGCCCGAAGTGGGCGACGCCCTGTTGGTCGCCTTCAAGGCAATGTGTGGCCCGGATGTGAAAAAGGGCTTGGATCTCTACGACCAGGACTTTCAATTCTCAATCCGCAACACCAAAATGACCACTGGCCAGGCATTCTGCAGCATGCAAAACTCTTGGTGGCCCTATGGCTTCCCCATGGAGGTCATCTTGGGTGAACTGCAGGCGTTTGGATGGGAACCTGCTGGAGGGCCCGCCTTTGGGAGCATGCAGCTGAGTTGGCCTGCGGTGATCTTTCAGCGTGAGGTGCGTGAAGTTGAAGCAGCCTAAGTTTTTACATGGCTATGTCTGAAAATGGGGTATACCGTATATACCCCCAATGAAATAGCCATTTTTCATAGGGATAATGATCAGCAAAACCATTGGGTTTTTTGGGGTTTAGCCAACATTTTCAGACAAACCCACATGTTTTTACAGAGGTTTCACAGCCGTTTCACCGGTTTCACCGTTTGGTGGCCTCCATGGCCTTAATGGTCGCCGTGGTCGCCGTCGCCGAAAACAGATGGGATGTCAACGGCTTCAATCCATTTGGAGTACGAGTCCACCTGAGGTTCAAAGATGCCTACCCAAGTTCAGAGAAAATCTACCAAGAGGCCAGGAAATGTAAAAGGAAATGTCAAAGGAAATGTCAAAGGAAATGTAAAAGGAAACATCACATCAAAAATCATCAAGATCATCTCACTGAGAGTTCCTATAAAATGCCATGTTTTTTGTTTGGTTCTTCCTGAAATGCCGCATTTTGATGCCAGGTCATCTATGAGCCCACGGGTGAAACATTGCGCGTGCCCTTCCGACGCATCCACCTCACAGACGAGGACCCAGGTTGCGACCATTTGGATGTGTACGACACTTCTGGTCCTGTTGGCCCAAGCCTAAGTGCTTTTGCGCAAGCTGTTCATCTTGTAAGCTGTTTATCCTGTTCATCCTGTTTTACCGTGAGAAGTAAGAAATCTGCAGTCCGGCTCATCATAGAGGCTGCATTGCTCTCCTGGCCTCCATGCTATGAACGTTGACAGTTGACAGCTGTGCTCTGAGGGACTTCTCCTCGGGAGGGCTTGCCGAAGCTGCGAAAGGAATGGGTCCAGCGGCGAGCAGCTGCAGCAGGGATCCCTGGTGAAAATGCTCTCTGAAAGTTTTTCAAAAAAAAACAAAATACTCTATGTGTATATAATATATAATTATATATATTAATACATATATATATATATATATGTCCCTGTTTTTTCAATTTGTCGCTCTCAATATCCTGTAGAGTTTGCCACTTGGATCCACTTTGGATCCACTTGGATCCACAAGAAAATTCACCGTTTTCGGCTTCAGAGTTTTCGCTTTGCGCCTTGAATCTTTGTGACGACTCCGCCAGGAAGATGGCACATGCACTCAAATGTACTACGCCCAGCAGGGCATCATTACCGAAGAGATGGCTTTCATTGCTGCGTGCGGAGCCACAGCATGGCGACCGATGGCGACCGAAGGAGGGGATATGGTGTGAAATCTGGCAGATCTCGCGCCGAAGTTATGAAACTCTGGCGTTGTGTCTCAGGCGTGAGGGTATGGAACCTGAATTTGTTCGCTCTGAAGTCGGTCGTGGACGTGCTAGAGCCTTAGACACTGCGGCGATTCCACGTTTCAGTTGAGTGGCAAGGCAAGGCATCGATGAATGTGAACAGAATGTGAATGCATTTGTGCCACATTTCTGCTCCTTCCGATCGTTTTTTTCCATGCGCCAAGTGTTTGGGACTTCTGTCTGGTGGCGTTTGACATCGTTTGACTTGTCTGTGCTGAGGCCATCATCCCTTCAAATCGCAATCATCCAGAGTTGGACAGCTCAGTGACGACCTTAAAGAACGTGACCGGAGAAAAGCCTTCGCAGAAATTGAGGTCTGAACCAATGATCATTGGCCGGCACTTCAAGGCGACGGGGCGCTTTATGTTGGGATTTTCCACGGGATGTTCCACATTTTCCAGTTGCTGTTTACTGATATAAATTCAACAGAGGCTCTGCAGTAGATGAACATCATACAATTCTGGTGGTTTGGAACATTAATTTTATTTTCCATTTCATATATGGCTATGGATCAATACCTATACATACCATTTTTAGTGGGATGAACATCCATTTACCAGCTATTTTGATGTGAACTACAGGGGTACAAGGTTTTGACACACTGCCATATTAATATATGGGATGTCATCCTTCCCATTGACGAACTCATATTTTTCAAGATGGTTATTGCACCACCAACCAACGTGCAGCAAGTCTCCATCTCTTGTATTATTCTTGTGATAGAGTGTAGTGCATTTTAGTTTGAGTATATATATAATATATATATATACATATGATATATGTATAATTATGTATATATCATATTTAATATGTGTAATATATCTGTATATATAATATAATATAATATAATATAATATAATATAATATGTAATGTAATGTAATGTAATATAATACAATATAATACAATATGATACAATATGATATAATATAATGTAATGTAATACTTTATAATATAATATAATATGATATAATATAATATAATATGATATAATATAATATTATATGATATAATATAATATAATGTAATGTAATGTAATGTAATACTTTATTATATAATATAATATAATACAATACAATATAATATAATATGATATAATATAATGTAATGTAATACTTTATAATATAATATAATATAATATGATATGATATGATATAATATGATATAATATAATGTAATGTAATGTAATGTAATATAATACAATATAATATTTATCGCTTAGTGGGTTGGAGTCTGCCAGGTGAAGATCAACTCCAACATTGGCAACTCAGCAGTAGCTGGCGGCCTCAGGGACGACCTAGTGGACTGATTCGATAGGTGCTGTTTCTGCTAGCCTCTGGTAAACTAACAATTTGCGAACTGGAAAATGACAATCTTTTATAGGTAAATCAAAGAACTAAATTAACTAAATGGTTCATTTGAGAAGTAGCTACGAAAAAAAATACCAGAGGCTATTTGTTTGATGAGGCCTCCACGATTGAAGAGGAGGTTGAGAAATTGCAGTGGAGCTCGCTGTGGGGTGCCGACTTGCGTGGATTGCAGTGTGGATTGCAGTGTGGATTGCAGTGTGGATTGCAGTTGATGGCCATCAGGGCAGTGTTTTTTTCGCAAGAGAGGTGGACACAGTTGGCAGAAATGGTTCAATTTTTGGTTTCAAATTTGGGATGATTTCAATTTTTGATTCCAATGATTTGCGCATATTTGCGCCCTTTGGAATGTTCCAAGACTGAAGAACCGACTGAACAACCCCTGGCGGCTGAGATTTTTTTGTGGCCAGGTGCCGACACCCTTATGGACTTGAGCACTGGAAAGCACATCCATGAGACACGTGAGTGGATCATTCGAAACAGTGTGCTCTCCTCAGGGACAAGGTGGAGGGGTTTTGTTCATTCGCGTCAACTAAGATAGTGTTAATATATGTTACCATCTGGTTATGACTAACATAGCCATGGAAAATGGCCCATAGAAATAGATGGTTTACCTGGGTTTACCTATAAAACATGGTGATTTTCCATGGCTATGTTAAATAACCAGAGGGTACATAATCTTAATAAGAGAATGTTAGTATATGTTCATATAGGTTCATAATAATATCCCATTAATATCCCAACAATATCCCATGAATATCCCATTAAGAGCCACAATAAGAGCCATCTCACCGTGGTCTCGCAACATCTCACAGTGTCACGAGTGCCAGTTTCGAGGCACTGCCGGTGGGAACTGTGCCCATCTACCAGGCTTTGGAGAAGGCGACTGGTGGCCATGGGGGCATTCATCAGTGACACGTGACTGTGATCAGACGTAGCATTCTCTGACAGCTACAGTATCTACAGTATCTACAGTGTAGTGTGATATGTGTGATAAGATGTGATAAGTGTGATAAGATGTGATAAGTGTGATAAGATGTGATAAGTGTGATAAGATGTGATAAGTGTGATAAGATGTGATAAGTGTGATAAGCATATATAAGTCATATTAAAGCATAGCATAGCATGGATAGTCACGGCGCTGAACGCTGAATCAGTCCTTGGTCACGGATCGCAGGTCGACGGCATTGCAGAGAATCTGACATGGGAGGTGCGATCAAATCCACACATCCCCAACCGATGAAATCCAGAAATCCCCAAATCATTTGGCTTTGAATATTTCTAAAATGAAATGGATTTCTGAATGAAATCTATATGAAATCTATTTAAGTTGAAATTTATGAATGACATCTTTCTGTTTATGTTTGAATGTTTCAGACATCTTTTTTTTTTTTTAAGTTGAAATCGGTTAGTCAAAGTTTCCTCTAACTTTCACAGCGCCAGGTCTTCCGCGAGACGCTGATTGAGCAGGCTGAACAGGGTGTGGACTATTGGTGTGGATCCCTGGAACGTCGATACGAAAATTGATTTCCTGCCGTTAGAAATATGTTGGATGCTGCCGGATCGGATTGAAAAGGACTATTAGTTATACCAGTTATACATTAGTTATATACCAGTTATAACAATGGTATAGTTTACTAGTTATTATAGAATTATAGAATAACCATTGACATGTGAGAACTATATGTGAACTATATGTGAACTCGCTATAAAGACAACCCGAAGATGCCCAAGGACGATTCATGCCGGTGTGTTGCTACGCTTCGTGCCACTCACCGCAAAACGCCTCACTGGTATTGCCGCTTGGACATGACATGGAACAACAGTTGAAAATCATTGACATCATTTGTGACATAATTTTTGTGATGAAGCTTGATGAATTGTGATGAACCATAATCAGCATATAGTCAACACAAAGAAGAGAAAGAAGATGCTCTGAATCAACAGCCAATGGAGTATTCCACATTCAGGAGAACTTGACCGCATGCAGAATTTTTGCAGAATATACCGGAATGTACGACATTGCCAGAGCGAAGAGTCCTAAGAGCCTGTGAAGGAAACCGTCACAGGTCAGCCGTGGTGGTTCCATTCATGCCAAACTCTGCATCTCCAAGCACGAGGTGCCAAATTGGGACTTTTTTCTAATATCATTTTCGTCTCTAGAATTCGTTTATCAATATGATCAACATGATCAACATGGACGGATGATGGCCAATGCTGGATCTTGATTGCAGTCCTTGAGAAACTTCCTTGATGTTTGGGAGCATGTTTGGCCACAAAGTTCTCTGCTACTTCATTCAGTAGCAGTTCCACCATCTGTCGTTTGTCATTGGTTCTTATTCATTGTAGCAATGTCATATAATGTCATACTGACAGCATACTACAGCTACCCAGTTTTGCCAATAATTCCGTTACGCAGCATGACAGCCATGACAGCCATGACAGCCATGACAGGAGAATTTTGCATATCAACACTGGGATGACATCCTGGACATTTGCAAGCAATATGATGTGTGACCTGCTCAGCACGCTCAGCACCCGTGGGAATGACGTTCCTCCACCACGTATGTTGATAAGGGATCAAAATGGATCAAATGTCCCACCCTCTCTGGACAATATGGGATATGATTTTCAACTTATCATCATAAGGGATCAAATGCCCTCCCCAAGCGATATTAATTAAATGGGATATACATATACATACATGTTTACCTACATGTTTACCTACCCTCTGGTAAACTAACATAACTATGGAAAATCACCATTTTTAATGGGAAATTCCACTATAAATGGCCATTTTCAATAGCTATGTTAGTTTACCAGAGGGTACATGTTTACCTACATAGACATATGGAAATACATGGAAATACGCAACACTTCCACAGCTTTTACGCAGAGGTCCCTCAGCATCGGGGATGGACTTCGTCCTGGCTGTATCAAGGCTCGACATCTCGACATGTGGAGTGTGTGACCAGTTTCGTACATCGATGGGCTGGGAAAAAAGGGACAATTTGTCAATTTAGATATCCAAAATTGACGATTTTTTGAGGGATTGAAAGGTGAAAGAGTCGGCGAAACGTGAAACTGGTGAAACTAGAGTCGTTACTATGTGTTACTATGTATCTTATGAAAACTTATACAAATAAATTGCTTGTCAGAGGAGGCCGCCTGAGATTCGCAGGATGCCAATGATGAAGCCCAGTTCAGTGAGCTCAAGGCGTGGAGATGTCAACTGTATCAGAATCAGATGTATTCATCCCCCTTGATGGGTACAATGTGAGGCCCTCCAGTTATAAGTTGGTTTATAAGCCCCAGTAACTATAGTTATAAGTACTATAGTTATAAGTACCATAAACCATAGTTATGGGAGTTATGTTCACCAACTTAGCTATCTTGGGGGCCTCACATTGTAGGTACCATTAGGTACCCTTAAACCCCACCATTCCATTCCATAGAGCTTCAATCAGGGGGGATATTTTTGTTCAACCTATTCAATGTATTCATCAGATGTATTCAACACGAAAAATGTATAAACAAGAACGTCCCTTATAGCTGTGCAAAGCTGTGCAGGTCCAGGGTGATTTGACAATGCGTGCCTGGCAAAAGGGCGTCCAGGCAGGGACTGGGACTTATGGGACCTGAGCCTTTTGGAATCTTTTCGGAATCTTTCGGATACCGAGAATCCGCTTGGCCTTTTGAATCAACTTTAGCCAACCAGGTAACCAGATGCGAGGTGATGGTTTTGCATAGTTTTGCCTGGTGATCTCAAATTTTTAACAGTTAGCAGCTCCTCACAGCTGCTAGAGGAAAAAATTTTCGGCGTGATCTGATTTTTTTTCTTCAGGTGCCACTTGTCCCTTTACCCTCTGGTTATGTCAACAGTTTGCTATTGAACATGGCCATAGAAATAGTGGATTTTCCCATGAAACATGGTGATTTTCCATCGTTTTTTGTATGTTTACCAGAGGCTAGCCCTTGCCGCAAGCTTCATATGTTGACGGCCGCTGAGGTGATGAACGAAGGACCGGGACATGTGCCGCTACACAAGATCCCGGACAACATGCGGAAACAGCTCGACTGGTGCCACGAGGAGAGCTCTTGAGTTGGGAGTTTGGAGCATTCTTCATGTATCGTTTAGTATGGGGTAATGATGGTTAATAATGCTTAATCAGCTTAATCATGGTTAATAATCACTGGTTTGTAGCCTCTGGTTATGACTAACATAGCGAACTGGAAAATCACCATCTATAGTGGGTAAATCCACTATTTCTATGGTGATTTTCAATAGCTATGTAACAAATTACCAGAGGGTAGCTACAAAGCTTCTATACGTTGATCACGTTGCGTGCCAGGCACCATTCTACACCTTGGGGCCTTTGACCACAGACATTGCCCCCGGCTACGATCACATTACGAGTGCCATCGGTGCCGCCAACATCGGTGCCATGGGGACTGCTGTGCGCGTTTTGTCTGCCATGCTGAAGCTGCCGTTAGGAAACAAATTGCCTTGGCCGCGAGGACAGCCATGCTTTGCTACGTGACGCCAAAGGAGCATTTGGGGCTGCCAAATCGAGAGGATGTGAAGGTGCTGAACAAAAGAAACCCTCGAATCTTAGGGTCCATAAATGTGACATATGTGACATGTCCATACTCTAAAATTGGAAAAGAAACTCCAAGGATACCAAGGAACTAGAAAAGTTTGGCTTAGGAATGGAGTTTGGAATTGTCGTTCGATTGCAAGTAGAATTTGCAAGTACTTTCGCACGAAGGATAGAAAACAAATTAGTGCTGTGATTTGTGCCAATATGTGACAATTGCTGCTCTTCGTTCGAGTGCCTGCTGTCCATGACAAAGACAGCTGTGCTCTGAATACCCCCCCTGAATATAGCTTGATTTCGAGTGTTACGAGCATGCCACACGTTGTGTCGCGATCCACTTTTGCGATTTGCACAGTCTTGGCCGAATCAAAGCTTTGTACTCCAAAGTAGTGGCTGGACTCCCTCCCTGTCGTTCAGGTGTCGCTCCCGTTAAAAGCCAGGAAGGGAAGTCAAAGAGAGGGTATGAAAGGATGTCCAACAATTTGAACAGATTTGAACGTGTAGCCGGTGCAAACGGTGTAACGGTGCAACCGGTGCTGCGCAAAATGCTGGACACTACTTGTGTCAGCAATGGAAAAAGGACCATTAAAAATTGCCCTCCTTTAATAAGTCTGCATCTTACCCGTTGCCCAGGATAAATGATGGGCAGATATGGCTGGATGGATTGCTTCCAAGACTTGACACCGTGCCTCTCTGTTGTTTGTTTCTCGCTCGGCTTTTGGTCCTCTTCCAACCCTCTTTACACCTGATACACCGGTTATGCGGGTTACACTGGTTACACGGTTGCACTGTTACCGGTTACACCGTTTCAGCGTATCAGCGTATCAGCGCATCATCGTATCAGCATATCAGTGTATCAACGTTCCAGCGTATCAGCGTATCAACGTTCCAGCGTATCGACGTTCCAGCGTACCAGCGTACCGGCGTACCAGCGCATCAGTGTATTACGCTGCAGGCTTGCAACTTATCAAGCACTCAGCAGAACAGCGTATCAGCGTCGAACCACGTCCGACACGCATTGCCACAACTCTCCTTTTTTCCAGAGTTTGTAGCTGCTCTGGCTTTTGTGGCAAATGGGAGAGTTTGGCTGCAAAACGCAAAAAAAAAGCCGGGAAAGTGCCCCAAACTGAAAATCAAAAGAATCGCTAAAAAAACAAAACAACAATCCCCCCCCAAAAAACTGCAGCCCTTATTAAACAAGGCTTTTGCTGTTCCTGGTCCCATGCTCCAGGCGCTAGCTCTTGCTCCTTCATTGGGGGTTCGACTGGTAGCAGCCCTTCATACATTCCTGCTTCGTATCACCTACTGAGCCACCCAAGTGCCAGCGGGCATGATATTTAATTATTCATCTTAGCAACACATGTCAATATGTCAATATACATCAATATATCCAGCTACTGTCATTCTCCCCATCATTTGTGAATCACCCATCCATTTGATGAAATGATTCTCTGAATCTGGCAAGATCTGGCAAGTAAAGAGTCGCTCAGTCGCTGAACACACGCATGCAGCCGACTTGCTCCGTCCTCCTGCCGCCGCCACCGCCGCATGGCGAGGCCGGCATCATAGCGTACCGTATTGCTGCCCACGCAGCCGACTTGGCAAGGACCTCACAGTGGAGACAGGAGAATGAACAGAATGAACGGACGAAAACATGCCATCATAAATTGGGATGAAAAGAAATGACAAGAAAATAATATAATATGTTAATATATGTTATAAAGTTATAATCCCATCATATAACCATATATAAGCACTATTATTGGTATTATAACCACTATTGTTGTGGTGATGAAAAGGAAGAAAGGCACTTGTTCAGTCGCCCAGTTCAACGTGGTGATTTGACCAGATGGGAATCTGTTTTTTTTTTCGTCGGGTATCTATGTCTCAGCTTCCCTGGGACCGAATTGATTACCCTCTGGTAAACTAACATAGCTATGGAAAATCACCATTTTTTATGGGAAAATCCACTATAAATGGTCATTTTCAATAGCTATGTTAGTCATTGCCAGAGGGTACTTTGGAAAAACGTTTCTGTAACTTCTGCAACTTCTGTAGCTGTCGATAGCTGTCGAGTATGAAAAGAGTCGAGTCGCCGAGGCCAAAGGACATCCACGGGCACAGGAGTGGGACGATACTTTGTCCAAGGCTCGATTCGAGTACGATGGCTCAGATTGCTCAGATTGCTCAGATTGCTCAGATTGCTCAGATCCAGCGTTTGATGATTTTTTGACCATGACGAAAATCAATGTCAAGTTTTGTTTCTGAAGAAAACTGTGGTAGGTCAGTGGTAGGTCCGTGGTAGAAATGGCGTGTTCGCGTTGGTGCCTAATGTGGCTTTCAATGGATTTCTCTCAGGTTCCGCTGGAACGATCAGTTCAACCTTGCCTTGGTCTCTCGGTTGTGGGAGGAGTCGACTCCAGGTTTACGTTCTGTTCATTTGAATACCATCTGGTTATGACTAACAGTTTGCCATGGAAAATCACCATGCTATTAATAGGTAAACCCAGGTAAACCCAGGGAAACCATCTATTTCTATGGGCCATTTTCCATGGCTATGTTAGTCATAACCAGAGGGTATTCAAATCAACAAAGAGGGGACACATGATTGAGGTGATAAATTCTATACACCCACATACACAGAAGGATTTTCAGATTGGCTGGACTCCAGAGTTTTTAGGACATCATTCTGGATACCCCTTCTCCCCAGCATCATCATGCCGATTTCCCCATCACTAGGATCAGCAAAATGATCAGCAAAATGATCACCATCATCCTCATCCTCATCCTCAGTATCCTGAATCATTGTCACATTCATCCTCATCCTGACCCTCATGATGTCATCGTTATTCTCTCGACTACAAGCATCTACAAGCCTGACCTGTGCAACTAGCTCATGCAAGAGGTGACACATGTCGGTAATTCGCAATATTTTACCAGGCATTCAATTCATATGTAAATGGATCCCAGAACTCGTGACCAACAGTCACTTCCAAGCACTTTCAACTGGTGCAAGACACATTGCTTACAACTTACTGCAAAGTAGGGTCTGCTTCGTTCACTCTCTCACTTTGTCCAATCTGATTGCCGTGCAATCTACAATTCATAGAATTGGATGATGGGAAAATTACTGGAAAACCCCATATATTTGATGGTAAAAACCATGGTTTCCTGTAGATTTTCCCAACAAAACCAATCCAGTGAATAATGAGAGCGATGTGTCAGCTGATGAGAACTGCTTGATGATTTAAACATCGCCCAGGATCCCGTCACCGCCCGCGAGATGCATGACGAGACGATTGCTCATGATGCTGGGAAGAACGCGCATTTCTGCTCGATGTGTGGCCCGAAGTTGGGGCCTCAGGGCCCAAGTGTAGCCTGGAAGTCGCCGGAAAACAGACCGCCGATTTTGGCACAATTGCGATTTTGGCACATTGTGTACCCTCTGGTAAACTAACAGTTTGCTATTGAACATTGCCATTTATAGTGGATTTACCCATTAAAAATGGTGATTTTCCAGGGTAACGTTTCTTTGTCACATGTTTTTCACGTTCCACGCACCTGGCACAGGTTTTGCTCCATGAAGATCACTGACGATGTCCGCGCCTATGCTGCCGAGCGCGGCTATGCTGAGGATGATACCGAGAAAGTCCTCGAGGAGCAAAACTGCAAAGCGGACTTCCCGAAACATCAGAAACATCCTAAGAACTTTGAGCGGACTTCATGAACCATCCTAAGCTCATCCTAAGCTCATCCTAAGCTCATCCTAAGCTCATCCTAAGCTCACCCTGAGCTCATCTCAGCTCTAGATAGTTGTGCGACGTCATGTGAGGGCGATTTCCAATCCAACTGGTAGAATGGTGTTGACATGCTTCTTGCCGAGCTTCATCGCTCTAAAACAGAACAGGCAAGCCATTGCAGCCATTGGCCTTGTCGCTCCGGTTGTCTCAAAATGTATTGGCTGAAAATGCCATCGGGGACCAATTTGGGAGAACACTGATGCACCATTCAGCACAAGGAAAACGCATCATTTCTGAACGCGGAAACCAGCTCATTTTAGAACCCGGAAACTAGCTCGTTTTGGAACGCGTATTTGGCATGGGTTTTCTGCTTTCCTGCTTCCCTTCCCGTTTTCCTGGTTTCCTGGTTTCCTTCCCCCGGTTTTCCCGGTTTCCCGGTTTCCTTGGTTTCCTGGTCTCCCTGGTTTCCTGGTCTCTTGAGGTTATTTCCTGGTTTTATTCTTTCCTGGTTATTTGTTTTCCCGGTTTCCCGGTCTCCTGGTTTCGTGGGGTTTGCTTGTTTGCTGGTTTTCTGGTCTCTTAGTTTTTTGTTGATCTCTTATTATATAATTTCCTGGTTATTTAGTTTCCTGGCTTCCTGGTCTCCTGGTTTCCCGAGGTTCTAGTTTCCGGGCGTCGAAGTTTCCTGGTTTCCTGGTTTCTGATTTCGCAGTGTCAGTCTTGGCCCTTTTTGTTCCCCAAACAGTGTGTCCAGACTGAGGGGTTCTTACGGTAGGTGTAGAGGCCGGTCAGGGTGCTCATTCTGGGCGCCGGCATTTTTCCTATACATTTCCATATGAAGTGGCTCTTGTGAAATGTTCAAGTGCATTTCGACTGCGCAGGCGCGCACAAAGTGTGGTCCTAGGTTCTGGGGCGCGGCATTTTCCTGTAAATTTCTGTATAAAGTGGCTCTTGCCGGTGTTTTTGTTCGTCTGTATGTTCAGAAATGATCCGGTCTTCGTGTTCAAAATGAGCCGTCTACCCAGCACAATGGAGCTGCCTTGAAGGAGGGAATGAAAGAGATGAGCAAGAAGTTCGCTGAAGTTGGGAGTGAGGCGCAAATGCCACGGGTGCACAAGCCCCAAACAATGACCTGTGAACAAGATTGAACAAGATTGAACAAGATTGAACAAGATTGAACAAGATTGAACAAACCCCAAACATCATCAAACATCCAAACATCCCGAAAATCATGTGATTTTCTAATGTAAACCATCCATTTTGGGGTATCCCCAGTGGAAACCTCATCATCAATTGATTCCTTCACGCCGGGTTACAGAGTTCATCGAGGTGCAGTCAGAATCTGCACAGGTCGAAACTAGGTTTGTCTTTCTCAAAGCGCAAAAGAACCGTACATAATAAGACACATATGATGTAATATGTAATTAATAGATACAAGAGATAATGATATAATAGTATGAGTATAGTATATGAGTATAGTATGAGTATGTGTTCAAAATTATTCAGAATTTTGAAACAAAATTCTATGCGTTTCGTTGCTCGCCATTGACTTGTGGAAGCTTAGGATAGAAGCATAGCAGCTGCATAGTCCATGATTCAGGTCTACTTACCACTCGAGGACCTCAAGGAAATGTGACCGGAGCAGACAGGAGCAGCGAGCAAACGTTTCTGAAGGCTTTCTGCTTCCTAATTTCTAAATATTTCTTGTCTGACTGCGGCAGCCCATCGAAATTGGCCTACTAGGCCCTAGAGTCCTAGGCCCTAGTCAGTTCTGTGTGATTGGAATGATATTGAATGTATTTGAATGTGATTGCTTGCCACCACCAGATCTCACAGAATTTCGCTTGGGTGGAGCAGTCACCCCCTCGGACCGTGGGCTTCAGTGCGAAGTCGTCCGAGCTTCACAGGGGACCAATTTGATACGTTCCACGTCCCTTTAGAAAGAGCATTGCCAGCGTCGAGTCGGAGTGGAGAACACCTCCGTCCCGATGTTTGTTTTTTTGTGTTGTGGATTGTTGTTTTAATGTGTTGTGGTTTGTTGTTGCACATGGATCAACAAATATTATGGATCCAACATGATCCATGTTGACATGTTCGGATTTTTGAGGCTCTGAAGCGATCTCTTCAGATCACTTTTTTGGCTCAGATATAGAGGAAGAAGAGTCGAGTACAGACGAGAGAAAGCAGCGCTCCAAGATATCAAAGTTGGGCATCCCAGATCAGATTTTTATCAGTGATCAGATATCAGATGGATTTTCCAATGTTTCATCATATTATTATAATGTTTCATAATGTTTCGAGTCCCGCTGTCAAAGTCCGTTGAGGATCCAGACTTCCAGAAGTATTGAATTTCTATGGTAAGACAGGCGGATTCTGAGGATGACTATGCGGCATGTGCATCATATATTTAAATTATATTTAATATATTCATCATGCACGCCATGCACGTCATATCACGTCATTCTACAGAACTCTGGTTGGTTTCCGAGTCTAATCCGGCTTGATCACACCCAGCTACCCACCCAGATCCACCCAGATCCAACCCTGTGCCTCTGGCGCCCTGCTTTCAGGCCATGGCTCATGTGGCCAGGGAGATGTTGAAGAAAGAACTGTGCCAACTGATGAAGGCCCAGATTTCATGATGGCTTCCTAATCGTCATGGCAAATCCCCCAAAATATCGCTGGATGGTTGATTTAACATTTATTGGAAAATCCATGAAAATCCGCATCTCAAATGGATGATAAATGACGATAAGATATGATAACTAGGGGTGTACACCCATGGAAACCCCCATATAACAACTATGGTTTATGGTTTACGCACATAACGATAGTTAGTTACTGGGGCTTTTGTTCACCAACAAACATCACCACGGGGGGCCTCACACCCTTGGGATCTGCATGGATCTTCACTGGAGCCGGTGGAAATCACTGGTCGCGAATGCGCGGCGCAACGATGTGACGTCAATTTTTTTAAACGATCTGAAATATATCTTTTTAATATATCTGAAATATATCTGAAGATTTTGAAGCGATGTGTAGGTTCGAAATGTTTCGAAGCTCAACCTGCTGCGAACTGCGAAGCCTTGTAGGACGAGAGCAGCGGCTTCTCCGTGGGTCTGGATGATGACTCGGAGCCACTGCATGCCACTGCCACCATCCGTAGCACATTTCTTGTGGTCTCGTTTTATGATGTTTTATGTTTGGGATACAAACAAGAGGTACAGCATGATCAGCATGATCAGCCGCAGCATGCTCAAAGGAGCATGCCCTTGTATAGGACCTATAGGGTATTATAAAGGTACAAGGGCTTGTAGATGAAGCAATATTGAGAACTGAGATCTAGGAATCTAGGTGGCGGTAGCGTTGATTTTTTCATTCTCAACCAGTACCAGTTGGCAGGACTTCTTCAAATGGCGAGTTGTATTTGAAGGACCTCAGGACAGCTTGCTCGATCCCGAGTTGCCAGAGTTCTTCCTGCAGACGGCTGTATGAGTACACCATATTACCCTCTGGTAATTTGTTACATAGCTATTGAAAATTGCCATTTAGAGTGAGTTTTCACACAAGCTTGCCCTTCTTTTCAATGCACAGGCTGCACGGGTTCAGGGAAATTTAGAAGAAAGATATAGAAAGATCATGAAATCATGAACGAATATGAACGATACAGAAAGATAGGCTGCGACAGTGCGACATTTTCGGTGCAATTCACTCACCGAAGATCTGAGGTACGAAGGCGGCATCTTCAGCGCAGTCCTGAACTTTCCGGCAGACTTTCCGAATAATCCTCCGGAGATGAAGCTTGGCCCCCAGGAGAGGCAGTCCACTGGCAGTCTGGCAGTCCTCTTGGAACGTTGCGGCAGGTTGCCACTGGCAGGGGATGTATGTTGTGACACAAATTGTTGTGACACTTAAGTGATTAAGTGACACTTTGTTGTGACACATTCATGTTGTCGATGTCTTTATCTGCTGAAAAGTTCTCCCCAAACTTAGCACAGCAGTCGGTGCGACTTAGCCATACTCGCTCGACGTGGACCATCCGAGGTTTGAAACAGAGATGTGGCATCCGAACATCTATCCTGACGGACGTGTGTGCATCTCCATCCTTCATCCTCCTGGGACAGACCGCTTCAATGATCAGGACCGTTACGAAGAACGTGGTGGGCCAACATTTCGTGCCACGATTTTAACGCCTTTGAATAGCTTTTCAATCACTTCATATCACTTCATATCACTTCATATCACTTCATATCACTTCATATCACTTCATATCACTTCATATCACTTCATATCACTTCATATCACTTCATATCACTTCATATCACTTCATATCACTTCATATCACTTCATATCACTTCATATCACTTCATATTCATATCCCTTCAATCCTTTCCAATCATTTGAATCTTTTGTTTTTCGCTGGCAGATGAACGAATATCGCTCCCCACATTGGCGCCGAGCCAAGCTTCAGGAAACCGCTGATGAGCGATGGCGACCCATCCTGGGAGTACACAGCATTCTAATCAGCGTTTGGTCCTTGGAGTTCTTGGAGTTCTTGGAGTCGGGATTTGATCATGGCACCGTTGAGTGGGAAGAACTTCGGAAGAACCGTAAGAACCGGTCGTCACCCGGAAAAATCGCGACAACGGAAGGTCTGTCAAATTCTAAAGTGAACATCCTAGAGGAGATTTTTCCTTTGGTTTTTGAACAGCCTAACTGTTGCGAACGATTTTTATTAAAACCCGAAGTCGTCCGTTCGGTGGGACAGGATCCAGAGGAAGGTACACCGGAAACCACTCTCCACGGTTGGCCAGATTTGGCATGATTTGGCACTGGAGTCGAAGTCAGAATGGAACTTTTCTAACTGTTGGAAACGAACTTGCAGATTTTTTACATTGAGTGCCAACATCATGAACATTTGATGTTCAAACTTTGATTTGCTGTTCATGTTCAAACATGGCTATGGATCAATACCTATTAATACCATTTTTAGGGGGATGAACATCCATTTACCAGCTATTTTGATGTTCACCAGGGGTACAAGGTTTTGACACACTGCCACATCTTCAAACTTTTTTTTTGCCACCAGTAATTTTCCAACGTTCACACTTTACGTTTTTTACCGGACCGCTTGGCAGAACGAGGTCATTTCGATGCTGGTTGATCCAAACCTGAACTCACCTGCCAACATCGATGCTGCGGTGCACTTGAAGAACGACCCAGAAGGATGGAAGAAAAAGGCATCCAGGATGGCTATTTTTTGACGAGAAACGGCTAATTATTCACCATGATTCACCTAATTGTATGTGAGGAGAAAAATATGCACATAAACAGAAATTGCTAGAAATTGCTTGAAAGATCTTGAAAGTATGGTTGGTCCTGAATAGAGAGAGTAAGACTGAGTAAGAGCTACTGTGATGACGATTTTGTGAGTGCTCCAAGTGCTCACAGCTGAGCGAGTTGTTTCGGAGAAGCGTCCCTATGGAGCTGCAAGTCCCCAAAACTGGTTACACTTTGGCAGGTGCGACAGTTGACGCGAAAGAGCGTGGAAGGTTGAAGTGACTCGGAATCTGACTTCGGCTTGTTGTCATGTCACGTAAAAACAAAGAGACTGTCACTTGCAATACTGAGCATTTGTTTCTATACCTACTATTTTTGCATTTTTACCTACGTGGACCAAGCTATTTCAGCTTTATCAGCTCAGCTATTTCAGCAGTTGGCGAGGTGACCTCTCTTGAATTCGTGGTGCAGTGGTGCAGTGGTTCAGGTGGGGGCACTCAACCTGCGAACTCTGATCGTTTTTGGGACATCATTGGACTCTACACACCCTCAGAGGGTGTATCCATGTGTATCCCGAGGCGTGCAATGGCCCATGGCTCCCAAAAAAAGCGGTGAAGGATGGTGAAGGTGTGAATCAACAAATTACATATTCTGATTTGCCCACACTAATCAGATCTGATTTGCCCAAACGCGGTGCGAATCTGTGCGTCATTGGGACAGACCCAAAAAGTCGGCGGCAAGTTGGTCACGTCTGGGATGGCTTCGCGAATGCCATAATAGTTGGATTATAATGAATGCCATTATCATTCGAGTTTAGCCTTTTACTGTTGGATTTATCCTCGCCATGTATAGTTTTGCCCTTGGGCCTCATGGTATTTTTTTTTCGTTTTGCGATGACGGAGTCAGTGACAATCCAACATGTGCACTGTATGGCAAGATGCTTTTGGAAAAGTCCATGATTGACCCCAATCTGATCTTGGTTTTGGTCGCTGATTGCAACCTGATCAATGGGACTTGGCACAAGGCCAGCTGAGGGCCTTTAAACGAATGCCGCTCAAAGTTGAGACAAAGACACATGCATTAAAGACAAAGGAACCAATGAGTCACGAACATACTGTAAAAGAAAATACCCTCTGGTAATTTAACATAGCGAACTGGAAAATCACCATTTTTAATGGGAAAATCCACTATTTCTATGGCCATTTTCAATAGCAAACTGTTGACATAACCAGAGGGTAGATTTCAATCCCCGCGGTTCGAGCCGCCAATGTGGGTTTTGGGAAGCTCAATCTTCAGGCAGGAGTGAACCACTGCTTCGGAGTGGTTTTTTCCAGCGGTCACTTGAAGCAATCGCAATGGCTCTCACATTTGTCGGGGTCATTCTGGGGATCTTTGCCCTTGCAAAATCTGAGTGCCTTGGCGTTGGAAGAGTCTACGCTCAGATACGATTTGGTGCTATGTCCATTGGTAACACTTAATGGTGCAAACCAGCAATGAAACACTTGCATGCATTATCAATGCGAACTGCTTCCTAAGCACACCATTTTTGATGATGCTCTAGTGATCCAGTTTGAATCGGACACCATTTTGGGTTAGTTCGAGAAGTACCGAACTGCTTATTTCGTTCCTCAAAACCCAGGAAAAATGTGTGATGGACCTGGACCGAACAGAACACTGCACCGTTTGCAAAGCGAGCCGTGGGTCAGGTTCTCGCTGGCGGGAAAATCTGTCTATTTCGTCGTGGTGGACCGATTTGCTCGTAGCGGCACACAGGTGCCTTTGGTGTGATTTTTAACAGACTTTGAAAAGAGGTTTTCAGTGTAGAATTCCACAGTTATGGCGCGGGACAGGGTCCCGCGCCATAACTTGAAATTCTCTCCAAAAGATTCCGAGAATCGGGAGACAATCTCTTTTGCAAGATTTGGCATAGATCTGAGCACTACAAGATACTACAGATTTGCTACAAGTTGGCATGTTTAGCACTTTAGCCTTTCATGTCCAGGCTTTGAACACGACATATTGTGACTTGGCGGCTGATTGGATCAACAACACTGGTGGTGGCTACTGCGGGGGCACGCTCAGTGGGATCATAGATCGTTTGGACTACATCGAGGTCTGGGGGGATTTTGGGGATTTTTCTGGCTTTTTGTGGCAGCTCCCGGTGAAGTGGGACCCAAGTTGACTTGTGACTGACATCTTGTGACAGGGCATGGGCTTTGATTGCATTTGGATCACTCCCGTGGTTGACTCAAATGGATTTATGGGATACGACGCCGTGAACATCTTTGAGATCGAGCCACACTTTGGCAGCAAGGAGATTTTCATGTTTCGAATAGGCTGATGGATTCAACGAAAAGCTTCAACGAAAAGCTTCAACGAAAAGTAGGGGAACAGGCTGAAGACAGGCTGTGTTTAGAGTCACACATTGTGTCACACATTTCACAAGATGACAGGTACGGTTTTCCATCCATAGTTTTCCTGAGCTTTCCTGCAGGAAGACTTCAAGCGTCTGTCGCAGAAGCTCCACGAGCGTTCAATGTGTTTAATTCTGGATATCGTCCTGAACCACATGAGGCGCCGCTGGGGATGACAGATGACATGGGATGATCCGATTTCAAGCTCGGATGCTGCCAATTGCTGGCTCCATGGCACATTCATGGCACATTCATGGCACCACATGCGGGAATTCCCCTATCCTGCATGAGAGACTTGGTTTTGGGTCGCCAAGCGAGCACAAATGGGCAGACGAGAGGCCGTTGGTTGTCAATGGAGAAGTGAATTTGTCCACTATCGTTCCTTTCAACCACGAAGCTTGGCCTGCACCAGCTGCCAAAAGTTGCAGTTCTTGTGGGAACAGAGCTTTGATTTGACTATTTTGATTTAAGGATTTGTAGAATAGAAAGGACTGAGCAAACTGAGCTAGATGTCATCCTGTTTCACAGCTTTGCAGCACAACAATTTGGAGTGTTCTGCGATGACCATTGGGCTCTGTGCTGAGGAGAGCCACTACAACCAGCGCAATCGCAGCAACAACCAGTCCTTTGAGGAGTGACAACCAGTCCTTTGCATTGTGCTCACAGATACAGTCTTTTTTGTCATTTTAGCAAAAGAAGCCAAACATGCCGAATGATTTACGTGAGCACGATACATCGAGTGTGGAAGACAAGCCACTCATATACCAGTGTTTTCCCTTGGTCGCAGCAGGAGTATTTGATATCTTGGCCACCTCCGCCATTTAATCCATCAGAGGATAACCAACGGCTTCAGACTTTAAAGATGACAGGAGAGGCAGGACTGCGGGGTGTGCCTTCAGGTGACCAAATTGCGATGCTCAGTACTTTGACCTGAGGAAATGTTGATGCATCGACCATCCAAAGAAATGCCACTTTTGTTCATACTTTTGTGAAACTACATAAATGATATGTCTAGCGATAAAGTTTAAAACTTGACTATGAAGATCTATGAAGCACTTTTTCTTCACCAACTCATTAGCCAGCGACAACTCATAGATGTATCACATCGGCCAGCTGGATTGTGGACATCATGTCGCAGATCACACAGAGTGTGCTTGCTTCCCTGGCAACATTGGCTTCAGCTGCCCATCTCTCATTGCTGAAGACTTCACTACAGGCAGGGTCTTCAGCTTACACGGCACGGGCAGCAGACTCGGTCATGCATCGAAGGACTGAACTCATCTGGGAAGAGGAAGCGCTACAAATCTCCAACCGTCCTTCATTCTTTGCGTACAAACACAACAGTCACGAAAACTGATCTAAATTTGTATCTCATTGAACTCGCTTTGGTCACAGGTTACCTTGGGGTTCTTGGCGACTTGAATCATAGCAATCCCTTCGTCCGACGAACTCTCCTGACCTGGGTCCGAGAGATGGTTCAAAATTACAGTGCCTTGGCTGCCTTGGCTGCCGGGTTAATGGTGGTTAATGGTGGTTAATGGTGGTTAATGGTGGTTAATGGTGGTTGATGGGATCAATAGCACAGTCAGTTAATGGTCATCAAAAATCTGGGGCATTCTGGCCGCAGACAGCTTGCCGCTAAACATCGTCATGATCTGATGGCCGGTGATGCCGCCGGAGGTCTAGACGCTTTGCGGCTCGACACAGCCATCTACCTGGACCGGGACTTTCTCCCAGAGGTACAGGACAGATGTCACTAAAAACCGATGCAGATTTGTGGGATCGGATTTTCGCACTCCACTTGGATTATGGGCTTGGGCATTTTTTGTGATTCACGTGCCCAAGCCCTTCTTTTTGGGCCGCGTATTGTTGCTGCTTTGTTGTGCGTTCTTGTTTCACTACAGGAAAGGCTCAGAGAGGGCCACTTTTAAGCGTGCCGAGGTCAAACAGATGTCTACGGTAAAAAGCTGTTGCTTTTTAGCTGTGTGTGAACGAAGGCAAAAGCGATATTTGACATTAATTTTCACATATTTCACATAGGTACGTAATGAATGCAGCCAAGGATGTGAAAAGTGCAGACAGTGATGACGGAAAGCGTTGGAAACGCTGAGACGTTTATCTGCGGGAGCCATGGGGGGGGGGGGGGGGGGGCAGGGTGATGACGGAAAGCGTTGGAAACGCTGAGACGTTTATCTGCGGCAGCCATGGGGGGGGTGGGGGGGGCACGGTGATTTGCAGACTTTTGGGGGTCAAAATCGGTGTTGGAAATGTGCAAAAAAACACTGTAAATTACAGGAAAAATTGCTTCTTGCGCATGTTTGCGGGGATGCGCTCACGTAAAAAAAACGCGTTTTTCCTGCTCAATTTTTGAATTTTTGGTGCTATGTTGCATGCAGCCTTTGGGATGTGTGATGTGCAAAAAAACACTGTAAATACCGTGAAAAAATTGCCTTCGGAGCAATGTAGAAGCATTTTTTCAACCCCAACGGGAGAGTAACGTTATTAAGATTCATTTGGGGTGTATTTTGGGCCTATCCTGCGTCATTTCAGGGTCAAGTTGGGGGTTTTGTTTGGCAATTTACGATTTTGTTGGGCTTATATTGGGCCACTTCGGGCCTATGTTCGGCCCTACAACATATTGGGTCAGTTGGAGGGCTATATGTTGGGCTTATCTTGGCCCAAGTGGCCATGTTGGGTCATTTCAAGGCTATGTTGGGCCTATCTGGGGTCATGTGCGTAAAAAAAACCGCGTTTTTCCTGCATGGGAGCTAAATTTTTGAATTTTTGGTGCTATGTTGCCTGCAGCCTTTGGGATGTGTGATGTGCAAAAAACACTGTAACTACCGTGAAACCTTCGGAGCAATGTAGAAGCATTTTTTCAACCCCAACGAGAGAGATTGCTTCTTGCGCATGTTTGCCGGGATGCGTTCGCGTAAAAAAACGCGTTTTTCCTGCTCAATTTTTGAATTTTTGGTGCTATGTTGCATGCAGCCTTTGGGATGTGTGATGTGCAAAAAACACTGTAAATACCGTGAAAAAGTTGCCTTCCGAGCAATGTAGAAGCATTTTTTCAACCCCAACAGGAGAGTAACGTTATTAAGATTCATTTGGGGTGTATTTTGGGCCTATCCTGCGTCATTTCAGGGTCAAGTTGGGGGTTTCGTTTGGCAACTTACGATTTTGTTGGGCTTATATTGGGCCACTTCGGGCCTATGTTCGGCCCTACAACATATTGGGTCAGTTGGAGGGCTATATGTTGGGCTTATCTTGGCCCAAGTGGCCATGTTGGGTCATTTCAAGGCTATGTTGGGCCTATAGGCGTATTGGGCCACTTGGAGGGCTATGTTGAGATCTTGGAGGGCTATAAGGCCATATGCGGCTATTTCGAGCCAAGTGTGCTAGAACTAGAACGTTCTTTTTGGCATCAACATAAAGACCTAAAGGAAGATGTGCGTTGACGCGATACGGGGGCTTTTTTATTTTGAGGTCTTGGAGGGCTATGTTGGGTTTGTCTAAGACCATTTTTCCTGCATGGGAGGTCAATTTTTGAATTTTTGGTGCTATGTTGCATGCAGCCTTTGGGATGTGTGATGTGCAAAAAACACTGTAAATACCGTGAACAAATTGCCTTCGGAGCAATGTAGAAGCATTTTTTCAACCCCAACGGGAGAGTAACGTTATTAAGATTCATTTGGGGTGTATTTTGTTACGCTGTGCCCCTTGCTGACTCGGTTTCCGTTTTCTTCCGGACTGGTTTGCAGACCATGATGTTTCTCATATGGAAACAGATGGAAACGGTGAAAGGGCAACACGTTCGTATACACTTTTTGGGATGGGAACCTTCCAGGAAGTAGCTGGTGTCCAGGTCCTTGGCGAAGCATCTTGGAGAAGCGATGGGTTTGGTTCTGTTTTGCCAAAGTTGATGAACGTTGTGCAATGCTCTGTTTATACATGTTTATACCGTAGACACAAGGATATTGCGATTCTTGATCATTCTTGATGACCCTTTAGAAATCTGCCAGCCCTTTAGTGTTTCTGAAATCATACTTGGTGCTATGCGGTGCTTCTTCCTGCACGAAAAATGGCAGCACTCCGTATTTTTGGGACACCATCGACATCTGCAACTGGTTGAGGAATCATCTGAGGCTACTGTCAACAATCTGACATTCCAAGCATCGCTGATGCATGGTGGGACTCTTATTCCTAGTGACTGCTTCCCCAACAGAGATGGTCAAGCCTTAGTGATGCCATCCTTTGTTTTCAGTGGTAAACTCATGGCTGGGAGGTGAAGCTCAGAGTGGCTTGTTGGGTTTGTTGAACTTTCCGCCCTTCTACCAATTGCCGCGCGCTTTCTGCGGCTATCGAATGGGCGGAGACTTTGGAGACTACTCCCTGCAAGGCATGGAGTCCCGGGAGCTGCTCATCCAGAAACATGTCATGTGAGGAGTCAAGGGGTGCCCGTTGCACTGTGAAGCCCCAGGAACCTGGTATGAAGAAGCTGACATGGAGGGCCTTGGAAGTGTTCTTTCCTTGCAACTCTCCTCCAGCATGCACTTGGGAAATTCCAACCTTGACATGACACCTGGCAAATCATTGCAAATCAAAGTTGTCGGGTTGTCGGAAATTGACAGTGTTTTCGAATTGATTTGGAAGTTGGACTTGTGCTCAGCAGAATCACGGCTGTACAGATAGGGCAGATGGGGTCAGATGGGGACGGATGGGGATGGGGATGACGACAGTCAGACAGTATCCGCTTTCCACCAAGGCTTTAACTTGCAATGAGGAAAAACAAATATATCTTCGAGTAATCCCCACCAACTGAATTTTCATCTGACATATTGACTCTGACATTCTATCTGGCATTCTATCTGACAGATATTCTGACATTCTGCAGTGCCCACTGAGATCTGGCACTCGCGGTTGAGGCCCAGCCGTGCCCGCTGAAGAAGGAGGAGGAGGAGGAGGAGGAGGAGAGGATGCACTTCTGATAAGATCTAGAGTCTAGAGACCCTCACCTGGCAGGTGGGGAATGAAAGTCTCCAGGGTGGATGGGCTGCTCTCACACACAAACAGCTGATGAGGATGGGCAATTTTGCCGACAATCACGACGAGTTTAGCAGGCTGACGTACTACTGTCGTTACGATAGTCTCAGGAGTCCCGGCTGCTCTGTAGGGAGGGAGAGAGATGTGCTGCTACGTTTGATTTCTTTCTTTGAACATTGATTCATATTCATTATATATAAATTATATAAAATTCATTTTCAGTATCAGTACTTAAATATATCAAATATTCATTCTACATGATTATTCTATTTGTTTAGATTTGATTTTGATTGCCTTTTATCCTTTTGGGGAGCTCCTTTAAGGATCCGGCAAGCCTTGGTCTGGGTCTTTCTGTCTCGTGGCATACCCATTCTGTACTACGGCACGGAGCAGGGACTGGATGGACACCAAGGGCCTGAGAACAGCAAGGGACAAGACAATCTACGCGAATCGATGTGGCACACAGGCAGGGCGTTCATTTTTTTTTAGGGCAAACCGTTGGGGCAAAGCAAAAACAACATAATGGGCTCATAGCCATCAATCCCATTATGGGATCATTCATATCCAATATCCCATTAATGTATCATTATATGGTGGGTTAATAATATCCAAGCAAAAACAACCAAGATGTCAGGAGATGTCAGGGACTTGTGCGGTTGTGGATATGGATGATATGGCAGCTTCTGTGTACCAAGGCTATCGTACAGATACCTGGCAATATCGCTTCATACAGAGGCTGATGCTTTGGTGTGATAGTGGTTCACTTTCCTGTCCCTTTGAAAGTTATCTTCTCATCTTTAGATTTCAAGCTGCGAGTCTTTGTTTGCAATTCCGGTTTTATAATGTGATATATATATATATATTATAATATATATATATTATAATATATATATATTATAATATATATATATTATAATATATATATATAATAATATATATATATACAGTACATCATATACACATAACTATATGTTTAACACTTAACATGTATATTTGGATCTGGCTCCGTGCTCCTGCCATGCCAAGGAACAAGCTGCGAAAGGACTTCGGTGTCGGTGTTGGTGATGCAAAGATCAGGCAGACGTCAAAGACGATGCTTGGCGGCAGAGTGATGTTCATCAGGTCCACGTATTCGCTGCGCCTCGGACTTGCCGGGCCAATGCCGAGCTAAGGACTTTGGTCTTTTCCCGCGAGACAACCAAAGCTGGCACGATTTGGGTGTTCCTCAACAATGCTAAGAATGCAACCGAAAAGGAAGGACAAATTTACTGCCCGGGCCCTGGCTCTGGCCACGGGCTTCGAGGCAGATGGTTCGATGCCTTGTCAGGTAAACCCATGAATCGCTATTTCAAGGCGGGCTGCTTTCAGGCCCCAGACCGAAATCCCAAAGTCTTGTTTCGGGGGCGACACGTGCCCTAGACTCTTGCTTTGTGTAGAAGGCATGCTCCAGGCATGCTCCTTGTTGCCCTTTGCAAAGTTTTGAGACCTTGGCCCTGTGATCGTCAAAAATCTGATGCTCTCGAGGCCTTTTCAAAATTCCTTTTGCTCGTAGGATTTAGGATTTTTCACTCGCGGCTTCGGTTGACAGCCTGTCAATGTTCGAAAATTGGCATGAACATCAAAAAAAAGCTTCTATCGAAAGCATCGACTCAACTTGAGCAAATTAGGATAGTTTTTTGACCTGAAAACTTGCTGGAATACTCATGTTGTGAGTGTCTATTTTTTTTCTCCTGAAGCCCCGACAAACAAAATCAAAATAATGTCACTCAGAGCATCTCTGAGCACACCATACTTCATAAGATCATGACCGTCATAAGCCAAGACTCTCTGAGTACATCCCATTATTCGAAATCAGAAATTATTTCTTCGTGTTCCTTTTTAAGCATGTCAATGGGGTACTCGGAAGCAACATGGGTGCCGCTCGAGGGGCTTTGCAATTAGAGGTGCATGATCAAAGTTTGCAAAGTGCGGAAACGTGCGGAACTTCCAATATTTTCTTTGGACAGTCTGGACAGTCTGGACAGTTTCAATTCACCTGTGTCCTTGGAAGAAGCATGTTCCTGCGCAAAGAGCGCATGCGTTTATAGTGTAGCCCAGAAGTGGCTCAGTGAAATGTCTATCCATAACTCGTACCCGAGCAGTCGAGACCTAAACATGAGCTCAACTGTTGGGGTGACAATTCCTGAGGCAGGATTTGCCCTGCCTGCAGATTCGTCACGATTCGTCGTACTTCTCAGTCTCATTGCGCGCGCAAAACAGGGCGGTATACCAAACCAGGCGGCAATGCTGTCACTTCCTGCATGAATTTGGGCGGTGTTCTGCACATGCAGGCTGAGCGCATGTCTTGGTGTGGAAGGAACATCGTGAAGTCTCCAAGTTGTCACGAAAGCTAGCGGTAGCTAGCTGAGTAACTTTTGCTTCAGCAAGGGGAGGGGCAGGTCTGAGTCCAACACAGTGATTTTTCACTTGAACCCCCGCCTGTTTTTGTTTCGACCTAATACCTACAGAGGTACATGCATAGAAAGCTTCCGCTGCTAGCCTGGCAGAGACTAGAGACGCCCCTCCTGAGGGCTTTGTTTGAAAAAGAAAATGAAGAGTGTGCAGCTTTCAAGTTGCTGCATGAAAACGAAGTTGCAGGAGAATCTGTAGCCCTGTAGCCCAAATTCGTCTCAGCTCTCAATGACACCATGAAAACATGATTCCAGCCATAGTCTTCAAGTATCTCAGTCTTCCGAATAGACACGGCTGAAGAATTACAATAATACCATACAGGTCTGGGTTATTCTCAGTTTCGTTTCAACAACTTGATTACCTACTGTATATACAAAAACATATATGAAGCCCCTTATGATCCAAGATGAAACAGCCAAGTGTTTGTTGGTTCAACTGCAGGGCGTACCAAACAGCCAAGTGTATTGCCAGTGCATTGCTCAATGGATTGGTTTTGTTGGGAAAATCTTAACCGGAAACCCATGGGTTTTTACCATCAAATTGATCGGGCTTTCCGGTTAAAAATTTCCCATCATCCAATTCTATGAATTGCCCTTTTGGCATGAAGACAACCATCGCGAACAGATCTTTCTAGACATCCAGCCATTTGGCCGCTTTGGCCGCTTTGGCCTAGCTGCCCGCGCCATCATGGATGACGTTGGTGCTGGTGTTCTAGATGCAAGGTACAACATGACAGGGACCTACAGTGCTTGGCTCACCAAAGTGAAAGGCGGGGCAGCAATGCACCAGGGCAATGCGTCACTTTGGATTTTGGATGACCTCTCTTAAAGCCTAGCGCAAAGAAATCCAGCGTATGGCGTCGTGAAGTTTGCAGTTTGTTGGAGAGTGATATCACACCGTCAAAATCCGTCAAACACATCTCAAACACATCTCAAACACATCTCAAACACATCTCAAACACATCTCAAACACATGATTTGGGATGATTGGGATGTGGCTCTTTGGAGTCAAAGAGTGCTCTGACAAGCGTGGTACAGTGGTACAGTGGTACAGCACAAGTATCCGAGCATGGCAATCGGCCTTGCCAGGAGAGGGCGCAAAAGCACGTTGGCTCTCCAGCACAACAAAGAGATACTTTACGATTGATTTCACTTCGCAGCTCTTCTTCTACGCTCAATCTGAGAGCCAAAAGACAGTTTCACATCCTATTCGGTTCAAGGACTGATGGGTTCAAATTTCAAGCGGTGTTCAGCTGCCTTGCAGAACCTGTGAAGAATTCCACCTTTACAGGCACAAGGACTAGGCACTGGAGGCACTGGTTCTGACACTTGCCTGGAAGAGCATTCTGATGTTCAGATCAAACCGTACCAGTATTGTCCAGAAGATGGGCAGCCAGTCTTGTGTGTTGTGCACTCTCAGCACCTCCGAAACAATCGGGTCTACCAAGTGTTCCTGGAGCATCGCAGGTTGTAGTGATCCACCACGTAAGCAGGACACCAACATATAAAAAAACCACCAAAATTACGCCATTTACCAAGATGGCAAACAGGATTCACCAGAAACCGAACAAGGACCAGCACAGCAGGATGGAGATACCGCGCAACATCCATCCGCAACACTGGGCACAACCCGCCAGGGCTGGTGAGCTAATTGTACAAAGCCCAAAGTTGTAGGCGTTTGGGGCCGTCTATGGCCATTGGAATTCTTGTCCTTTTCGCCTTCTTGGAAAATATAATGATATGAAAATATCATTCTATCATATTTTATCCCTTTTCTATCCTTTTCCTCATTTCGCTATCTTTCCAACTGGGAGCAAAGTGGACTTCAGCCAAAGCAACGCCTTTCGTGCCACGAGTTTGAGTTTACTATTTCCCAGGTCGACTAGGTATGCGATGTATGCGCAGGTAAGCAGAAAACCCCCCCAAAAAAATGAAAACACTTGGGCCACAAACAGAAGCTGCATGGCATTTTTTTTTTGTGGGAGGACATCGTTTCTGCAGACCAGCTGCCGGATGCAGGGTCGAAGAGTCATGCACTAAGAGAGACGGTTCCAAACGGAGAGAACAGATGAGAACAGTCCAAATCTTCGACTTTGCATGACTTTTCCATCTAACGAATTTGTTTCTGCAAAAAGAACGTGCTTTTCTGAGCCGGGCTTAGGGCTTTGCAGTTTTTGCTGACACGCCCCTTGGTGCCTCTTGTCTTCCAAGGCGAGCATCCGTTTGGCTTTTCCATTCTGACAGCAGAAAGGACCTATGAACTCTTTACTCATTCCTATCAGGCGGGCCCAGCATGGTTTTTGTTGCCTAAATAGCGAAGGTTGGGCTTTGCCATGCTGCAAAGCAGTTCCTGAAAAAAAGGACGTGAAAGCTCTGCACCACATTGCCCATTGGCCCATTTCCAGAGGGAGGGGCCGGAAGGGAGAGTGCCTTTTGCAGTGCGAGTTTGAAGGTTCTTTTTCTGTAGGATGCTGAACTCTGGGTCTCTGCACTCAATGCGGCCCGGGACATTGCCAATGGGAAGGTGCCGGGGCAGGCGCTGGAATGAAGCTCCGAAAAGCTGTGTCAGCACAATACACAGAGATATGAAAGGCATGTCATGCAGCGCAATATACAAGTGATACAAGTTTGTGTAAAGATTTGAATTATTGATTTCCATCACCGTCAAAGTCCTAAGTCAGCTCTGCTTGGACCGGGTGACCGGGTTGAAGGCACCGAGCTCAACAAGACACAGCCACGAGTTCTCAAGGCCTCTGGGAGTGCTCCTGGGACAGCATTCAGCCAGGATTCAGGTCACAGCCTGCAAAGCTGAATCAGAGTTTTGAGAATCTGCGTCATACCAAACCAAACTGCTCCTAGAGTCCTAGACTCAGTAGCGAAATGTTGAGTGATAGAGCTCGCTGTACCCTTGAAACATAAAAAACTAAAGAGATCCAACGTTTTAAAGGACCACTCACTGCTTCCGTGTTTCCAGCATCTATCATCCAAAGTATCAGTGTCTCAGACATTTTATCTGAGGTGATGTAGGCAAGAAATTGCATGATGAAATGAGGTAGTGCAATACTTGGAATCAGGTCCTCACTTTCGACGTCTACGTCAGATTGCGGGGGCGATCACAGCTTGGATCCCAAGAAAGCGCAAAGTGACTCCAGTGGCTCGCTTTCTGTCGAATCACCCAGTCTCTTTCCTGCTCCGATAGGACTTGAAGATGGCCGGGCACCTTGGGAACCTCCACCAGTCACAACGAGGCTCTGTGGTGTTTATGGACTTCCGGTGTGCTTCCAATTGGACTTCCACGGACTTGCATCTGCTGCCCAGAATATCATAGAATATCTATACAGGTAAAGCCATGTAAGGCCCTTTAATACCGAAGCTTCTGTTTCTGAAGTTTGAATATGTTGGAATGCTTTCATTGCAACTCATGTCATCTCTGAAGCCAGTTGTGCTACAAGCCTTGGATTTGCAGCTGCCAGTTTCGCAGCTGCCACTGCCAGGTGGACACAACCGGCACCGGTCCAGCAGGAGCTCTAGGGAGCTCCCTGTGATTTTCGGTGAAGACATTTGAGTCAAACATGAATAAACCATGTAGAAAGGGGGAATGATAGATCTGAGATAGATCTGCGATAGATCTGATAGGGGAATGACGTCGGGAGATCACAGGTGTCGCTTACCCTTTTCAGGAGTTGGCTGCGCCGCCGCCACCGCCTGTGGACCCCTTTGCCGCCCTCGATGCCTTGGAGGAATTGGCTGGTCCAGCGCCTGAAGATTCCGCTGCAACTCCCGTAGCACCTGAATTACAGGTGAGAAGTCCTACTCGTGTCACAAAAAAAAATGCATGGGTCACATGATGTCACATGCACATCAGGACATTGTATGATAGTCAGGACAAGATCGTTTCTGAATGCTACTCATTTCCCTAGAATTTGATGGATTTTTCTACTCATTTGACTGAATTTGACTGTCTAATGTCAGCGCGCTGCCAGGGAGAGCTTCTGAAAGAGGCCCGCGCAAGAGTCACGGGTGCACTGACCTCAAAACGGAGCCTTCAGGACGGGTGACGCTGACCGAACGCTGACGCGTATATCGAGGTTGTCAATATTAACGCGAATACAATACTATACAACATAAATCAATATAAATCAATATAATACATCATAATACAATATATACATACACATATACATATATACGATAATGCACCTGCTTCATCCTGATTCATCCTGATTCACTGATTCACTGATTCATGACATTCTCATGACAGTTCGACAAATCTGTTTAGAAATTTCTCATTTTTTGAGGAGATAGAAGCTGCTGTGGCACCACCTCCATGGCGCCCAGAGGTGGAATACCATGTGACAGAAGTGGCAGAGGACGAAGCTCCCCGGGCGCCTTTCGCGTCATCTCCAGATGTGGTCATGGCAGACGTGCCGTTGTCCACGGTGGCGGCCTTCGTGACGGGCGCGGCACCAGAGCCAGCCGTTGGCGCCGTTGGCATGGCGGGTATAGCGCCACCTGCGGGCATTGGCGGCATTGGCGGCATTGCGCCCCCAGCAGGCGGATGAGACAGAGAATGTGACACACCTGACACACCGTACATATCCCGATATCATATCCCCTCCTATCTCAGAGATCTGGATTTGATGATTTTGATGGCAATGAAATCTTGCCAGGTATGGGAGGCATTGCCCCGCCAGCTGGCTTTGGAGGATTTGGTGAGGAGCATCGGGCCTTGGCAGCTGCATTGCCTGCACCCGCTGCTGCACTCGCTGCACCTGTGCCCAATATGGAGATGGCTGGTGCCTCAGTCGCTGCCCATGTCAGCCCTCACATTTTTCCAGTGCTTGAAGCGGAGACTGGATCTAAGGCACCATCTCCACCTGAAAACAATCAGGTTGCCTTACACAGTCGTTTTGTGTTGCAGCTTGTTGCCTTGTCAGCGCCTAATCGCAGTTTCAATTTCACGATTTTGGCGTTCCAGCAGATTCTGATTCTGGCCATTTCTGGCCTTTAGTCATCTTTGGATATCTTGGGTTCCTGGAAATCAGCACCAGAAATAGGACAAAGTCACGACTGGTCGTTTTCATGTACGCTGATAGGAGTCCTGGGACGATCCTCCGGTCGCATCTGCTCCCCTACCACCACAGGCATAGGATGCGTTCGCATTCATTTCCAATGCGATTTTGGTGCCACGGCCATGTCTTATCGTTTCACCAAAAGATGAGTCCCTCGGCCTGTCTATGGAAGGCACCTATACCTCCATCCTTTGGTGATGGAAATCTGGAAGCTGCTGGAGATCTCGAGACTTTGTTGAAATTGGAAGCTTGCACCTAGCACACCTTTTCAGACGCACTTGCTACGTTGGGTGCAAAGTATCAGGCAAGAACAGGCAAGATTCGAGTGAAGGCAATGGGAGTGGACACAACAAAAAAAGCAGAACCGGAGTGATCTGAACTTGGCTTAGCGGCACGGAACCAAAGGATTTGAGCGAATCTAATGGAGACAAAAAATAGACCAACCAAATTTGGCCTGGCAAAATCTCCCTTACTGGTTGGTTAGTTGGGATGATGATCCAATCTGACGAACTCATATTTTTCAGGGGGGTAGGTATACCACCAACCACCACCAACCAGCTTAAGATGGGGGGCTCTTCCCCGTAATCCCCCAAGGATGATCTTGTCGGCGAGATTATGGCAGTCACTTCAAAGGAAGCCGGAAGCCATTCGTGGCTTGCCCAAGCCAAGTTAGACAACACGGTTTTAACAGGGATGAGTTCTGTTCTTGCTATGCTTTCGGCTTGTCAGCGTTTTCTAAGCTGTGTTGGAAGTGTTTTGAACTTTAGACCCCTGTGGCAAAGTCAGTTTTGGACAGCGGCTTGTTGCACAAGATCAGCTAAGGTTATTGGAGCATTTCCATTGCATTGGTTGTGACTTTCAGGTTCTTTGACCTTTTATGCTTGCTTGAACTGTTTTGCAAGGGAATTGAGTTGACTCCCGTGAAGTACTGATTCAAGAAGTAGAAGTAGAAGAAGGAGAATGATAAGGAGAAGGAGAAATCAGAAGGAGGAGGAGAAGGAGAAAGAGAAGGAGAAGGAGAAGAAGGAGGAGAAAGAGAAGGAGAAGGAGAAGAAGGAGGAGGAGGAGAAGGAGAAGGAGAAGGAGAAGGAAAAGTATAAGAAGAAGAAGGAGGAGGAGGAGGAGAAGGAGAAGGAGACGGAGAAGGAGAAGGATAAGAAGAAGAAACAGAATAAGAATAAGAAGAAGAAGAAGAAGAAAAAGAAGAAGAAAACAAGGAGGAGGGGGAGGAGGAGGAGGAGGAGAAGTAGAAGGAGAAGGAGGAGGAGAAGAAGGAGGAGGAGAAGGAGAAGGAGAAGGAGGAGGAGGAGGAGGAGAAGGAGAAGAAAAGGAGAAAGAGAAGGAGAAAGAGAAGGAGAAGGAGAAGAAGGAGGAGAAAGAGAAGGAGAAGGAGAAGAAGGAGGAGGAGGAGAAGGAGAAGGAGGAGAAGGAAAAGTATAAGAAGAAGAAGGAGGAGGAGGAGGAGGAGAAGGAGAAGGAGAAGAAGGAGGAGGAGGCGGAGGAGGAGGAGAAGAGGAAGAAGAGAAGAGAAGAAGAGAAGAAGAGAAGAAGAAAAGAAGAGAAGAGAAGAAGAGAAGAAGGGAAGAAGAGAAGAAGAGAAGAAGAGAAGAAGAAGAAGAGAAGAAGAGAAGAAGAGAAGAAGAGAAGAAGAGAAGAAGAGAAGAAGAGAAGAAGAGAAGAAGAGAAGAAGAGAAGAAGAGAAGAAGGGAAGAAGGGAAGGAAGGGAAGGAAGGGAAGGAAGAGAAGGAAGGGAAGGAAGGGAAGGAAGGGAAGGAAGGGAAGGAAAGGAAGAAGGGAAGACGACGACGGCGATGATGAAGACGAGGACGAAGGCAAAGACAAAGACAAAGGCGGGGGCGAAGAAGGAGGAGGTGGAGAAGGAGAAGGAGAAGCTGGAGGAGGAGAAGACGAAGAAGGAACACGAAAATGCAAGCTCTTTGGGAATGAGGTGTTGAGAAGACTGTAGATTCAGTAGACTGTCGAAATTCTTGCAGTGCACCAGAGCTTGACGTGGTGAGTTTGTTGTTCTCTTTGATTCTATCTACAATTTTCGGTCAATTCATGTTTACTTTCATTCAATTTCACTTGCCATCTTTAAACAGCAGTTGATCTTAAGTTAATCATGCATAAATCCGTAACTTGTTCGCAGTGCAGATAGGTCCCATATGGGTCCTGCTCTCTTTTTGCTGCACCCCCTTGATTCATCTTGATTCGCTGGGAATGTCTGACAGGTCTTGGTGTGCGAGGATTGCGTGTGGACTGATGAGGTGGACTACATGCTTCGTGGCCAATTTTCCATACCCTCTGGTAAACGTTTACATAACTATGGAAAATCCCCATTTATAGTGAATTTTCCCATGAAAAATGGGGATTTTCCATAGTTATGTAAACGTTTACCAGAGGGTATCCATTGGTCCATGGCATAACGAAAGAGCAGAATCCGGGGATCCGGTCAGACCGGGAATCCGCTGAGGTTTTTCCGCAACAACTACCCAAACATTGAAAGACTCAGGACAGGAAACAACAGGAAACAACAGGAAACTACCCATATCCAGATACAGAATTAATCAGAATTATAGATACAGGTCTGGCAGGTCTGGCTTTTTGTTCGGCCGGTCTCGGACTTGTTTGGCTACTTGCTTGACATTTTTTGCCTCTTTTGTTGGCACATCCAGGAAATGTTTGGTGCGGCAAGAGGATTGTAGAGCATACTGTTGCCCTGTGCTGAGCGTGAGATCAGAGTCTGTGCTCAAAGAGGTTTCATGTCTTGGCATCAACTTTTCTTCGCCTTCTTCGCCTTCGCCTTCTGTATCCTCACCAGATCAACCAGATCTCACCAGTGCTTTGGTCCGAGGTCAGTGCTCATGGAAATCCGCTCGTAGTGTAAGCAGCCTCCAGGACGGCCGTTTTTTCAGAGTGCAAGGGAGTGGAAGTGCGAACCAAACGGGGGGTTGCTCCAAAGGTTTTCTGACATCAAGTCAAGAGGTACCAAGCATACTGAAGCATGAGTTACTGCAGCATGCTCATCACCGACAGTTGCTCGTATTGATATGTATTGACAGCAGCTTTTCTCGCAAAGCCTACAGTCTACCACTAAAAATGCTGTCAAACGATTTGTCAAGTTCCAGCGGAAAGTTTGTCTCCCCAAATCCAAAGGAATCTGTGCTACTTCAGTCGCACTTTGTAACACGTTCAGGAGGTGGCGGATGGCTTGCGATGGAGGAAGATTGCATGATGTGCGATGACAAAGAATAGAAAGGTCAGCCGCCAGTGCGCAGGATGGAGGAGTGTTTCTGCATCATGCCGTCATGCCTCACAGTTTCTGGGATGCAAGGCGTTGTGTTTGATCAAACAATTCTCGAAATTCGAGACATTAGATGACATTAGATATCTTGAATGATTGGAGCGCATGCCTTGTTTCTTGACCTTCTCCGACACTGGAAGGTGCAATGTCACTTCCATTTGGATTGGGCAAGATGCCAGTTCAATGATCACTCGCAAAGTCAAAGACTTTCGCCGGGTGAAGGCCCCTTTCTCGGGAAACATCATGGGCTTCCATAGCTTAGCGACATCGAAAAACAGACCAGAGACATCCGGTGAAGATGAAACGCGAAGCACGAAGCAACTTGAAAGTCAGAGACTAGCGCCATCTAAAAGTCTTGCCATCTGGAGACTTATGAAGTGGCGAGCATTCACATTCACAGAATCAAATTGCTGGGCTTACCCTAGAGGTGACGCTACATCAGACAGTTCACAGGAAAAGCATCCGGAGCAACATGGCATGTTTGGGCTCAAGCCTATTCCGTGCATTGGCATTTACCAATTTCAATTACTTCAAGTCTTCTACCATTCTTTTTCCACTTTCACATGGTGTTCTTTTTAGGCCCTGTCCTGGAGGTGCTGAATAGGAATAGTCAAGCTTTTTTGAAGTGGGCTCAGATTCTCGGTATGAATCACTAATGCCAAAATACAATGATAGTAAATCTGATAGAAAGACATCTTTTCTTGGGGGCGCAAACGTGCCAACCTTTGAGATGGACAATCCGCGCTTTCCTCAGTTTGTTTTGTACCGAAAAGTTTTGGTAGGCCCGGTAGGCTTTGTTGATTTGTTGCTGGTTGATTTGGATTTGACGTTTTGCCTGGATTTTTTTTGTGTGCAAGCTGTTATGTGTTCTGAGATCAGACTCTGAAGATGAGGAGGCGACCACACTGGCTCAGTGGATGTCCAGATTTCCCATATCCAGCCTTCTCCTTGTCACAAGCTATGCAAACAAAGTGTTGAATCCGCTTGCCATTTCGCATGGCTTCAGAAGCACAATTTGCCTAGGCGCAGTGCATTTTGCTTGCCTTTATGCATTTCATTTTAATGTTGATGCAATTCATGCTGTTGTGTGACGAGCCAAGACACATTTCTTGGTTATGCAAGCGTTGATTTTCGTTCGTCCAGGACAGCAAAAATGCTGTTTTCTCTAGCTGCAAGCTTTGCTCGTGGGGCACACAGTTTTGATAAAATCCCCAAGGGAAAATCATGGAAAATCCAAGTCTGGCACTTATGTGTTCTCAAATTTGGACTGCACTTTCTTGTGCATGGTTGCTACAGTGGCAATGCTTGGCTGTTTAGTGGCACATGTCACCACTTTGAGGCGAAACCGCGAGCTGGTCAAGGTTTGGCCGCTGTTTGGTGCGTGGATGGGCCTTGTGCTGCCTTTTCCTTTCTCTTCAGAATTCTAACCTGCTCAATGGACTCAATGGTTTCGCGATTTCGCCTTGCATTTTTTTGAGATTGTCAGTGCACTCAGTCACTCGTCATTCTCAAATGGAACAAAGAAAGCCTGGCGGAACTTGAGTGGCTAGAATTGTCTTGAGACATTGTCGACATGTGCAAGACTAAGACTGGTTGGCTAGCAAAACTATCACGGAAGAGATTTGCAATCCCGCAGTAAAATTGGAAACACTTTGCCAAACCAAATGGAAGCAAAGGGAAGCAGCCAGAACTCTAAGAACCGGAAAGCGTAACGGCGTAACCAGCCTGAGAAACTAATGCCGACCGATGCGGACTGACTGCTGTCTTTGCGTTTTTGCTTCTTCCGGAGGTGCTCTTGGCTTCCGGCCTGCAGATGGCATCAGTTTCCTTGCCAGAGACCTTTGCATTGTGCTCAGATAGTACTCAGAACCCATGCAGAACCCTTATATATAGATTTATGATTTATATAATTCTTTCATGTTCTTTCTGTTTTTAAAAGTTAAATGTTTCCATCGCTTCCCATCAGGCCATGCGCAATATAAAATTCAGAGTCTGTTTTGGGGAAGAATGGCAAAGAGCAAGTGCTCCCAGCGACTTTTCTTCTCGCATTCCGCCACTTTCTGCAAACGAGGAAAGGTACAATATTTTTGTATGCTTTCTGTCGGTAACAAATACTGGCAATGGAAAAAGGTATGGATTAGAGATATGATTAAGTTGTATCGACAGCACCTGCGTAGATTCTCCATGGCTATCCAAGGGTTGCTCTTTTTTTAGGTGATTGCACTGCTGCGTGCAGAAATCTGGGGTCGTGTGCTCAAAGACAACAGATTAACAACAAAATATGGATTTGATTTTGCAGCTTCTCACTTAGGCCAGGCTATACATCGGTAGATGCATGTTGATCGTTCTTGGAAATTCTTTGTCGGATCGAATTCTACTGACAGGTTGTCAGTTGTGATGCAGGAGTGTTTGCTTGGCCTTCAAAACTACCAGCCTTCAAAGGGTTCCGTTTTTGCAATATTGTGATATAATTAAGAGTGAACTTGAGTCTCATCTGACATGTCCAACCCACAAGCGAGCTTGTCCGGTTTGGAAAATTGGATGGGTGCTGACATTTTTTGAAATTTTCAGCTTGAACACCTCCTTGCTATTTTCGCTGCTAGCACAACTTCCATTCATTCATAATTTGCCGTGTAGCAGATGCGAGGTCACAATATGTCGTCCTACATGGCGTATGCAGCCATTGGAATCAATTCTGCCACACACTCATCCAGTGTATCATTTGGCAGTACAATTCCAGCAGAATCGACGCCATCGGAGTGTGGATTGCCATGTTGCCATTGTCATAGAATTGGATGATGGGAACATTTTAAGCGGAAAACCCGATCAATTTGATGGTAAAAACCCATGGGTTTCCGGTTAAGATTTTCCCAACAAAACCAATCCAATGCCATTGCAGTTGCAGCTTTTCGAACACATCGATGTTGCCATTGCAGGTGGCAGTGATCTTTGGAGGCCCATTTGGCCGATTTAGTCCGGCAACCAAGGGCCTAAAAAAGGCCTAAAAAAAGGGCTTTTTTTTCGAGACACGACCAAGACCAAGTGAAGATTTGTGTAAACATTAGTGTTCACATTAGCTATTCATCATTTATACGTTAATAATCGTAAATATACATAAATATACTATATACATACATACTGATGTACCTTTGTACCTTACCTTTGTATACCTTTGTGCCTTTTTGTAGTGTCACTGCACCCGAAGCGTAGTGCACGCTGCAGGCGACTGTGTCGACCGACGATTGGCAGCAGCTGTATTTGCCATTGGCACTTTCGCTCCAACCTGGTTGCAGCCTTGAGCTGACCTTGAACAGAAACGCGGCAAGGAAGAGCAGAATATATAAGCTTATAATAACATATAAACTGTACATATATATATATATATACACACACTTGGTAAGGTATCATGGTGAACTATATCCCATATGTTATGGGAAGTATACATAGAAATGCTTTTATACACTTGGAAAGTGACTTTTTATGTGACAATTTTGCGAGAAGAAGAGTTTCTCTAAGACTTCTCTGGGTACCAGTATGCCTTGGCACATTCATGATTGGAATGGATACTTTTCTTTGAGTTTTTCAGGTCATTGCTCATCTTTGGCTACACAACTGCAAAGGTGCAAAATGGATATTCCGAGATCCTTCAAGATTCTGCAAGTCAAATAACAAAACAGGATTGCAACATATTGTATATAATTCTACAATAATATATATCCTCTGGTTATTCAACATAGCCATGGTATAGATGGCCCTAATCGAAATAGATGGTTTGCCTGTTAATAGCATGGTGATTTTCCATGGCGAAGTGTAAGTCATAACTTCATAACCAGAGGGTATATAACTATACTATAACCATATAAACATGATTACCATATGATTAACTCATAGAATTGGATGATGGGAAAATTTACAGGAAACCCCTATATTTGATGGTAAAAACCATGGTTTCCTGTAGATTTTCCCTTAAACCAATCCATATGATTAACCCTCTGCAGGCGATTTGTGACCTGTAGCAGGGTTGACCTGTAGGCACTTTGGATCAGCACCATCGTCAAGGTGTTGGGCTCCTACGGTCTCACCAGTGGGTTGACTCAGTGCGTTTTCGACAGAAAACAAGGTGGAAATGAGTTATGACAGTTATGAGATTTTTTAGAACTGGCAATGGATGATATTGGAATATATTGGAGTATACTTTGTCAACTTTGTCAACACTTTTTTTTCACTCTCGTGGCACATGGATACTGTTTATCGCTTGTTGCGATGTCGAGGTAACGTCATGCTTGCCTTGATCAATGATGTGACACGTGTCGAGGCCTGGGAACATGGGAACACGTGTGTCGAGGGTCCGATGGCTCGATTTTATGTCCGATGCCAGGACCGAGAAGAGGCAGTAGGCCTGTACTACGCGGCGAACAATTTGATGAGCCTCACGTTCCTCAGCTGCATTCAGCTGCATTGTCTGAAGAATAACACACCAAGTTGACAACTGAAAAAGGGCACGCTGTTGGATATGTCGCAGACGACCAAGGTGAGAACATGGTGGCTTGACACTTGAATATCCTTAATACAATTGATGTTCTTGTAATCCAAGGATGACTGGCATACCGGTGCTTCTGGTATTGATATTGCGGGCACCGGGCTCAGCAAATGCACAATAGAAAGAGTTGGCTAGGAAGACAGGCATGACCTTATCTTTTCATGTCGAGTTGTATCATTTGGAGAAGACTAGAGCGAGAGTGTTGAAGTCTTGACTTGGACGTAGCCTGATTGCCAAAAGCCAAAAGGTCACCTGGGCAATTCTGGTTCCCTTCTGCTGTGTGTTCCACTGTTGTGTCTCCGTCCATCATGACAATATATATAAAATATAGTATAATATATATAATAGTATAATCTATATAATAGTATAATATATAATATAGTATAATATATAATATAGTACAATATATATATAATATATAGTATAATATATATAATATAGTATAATATATATATAATAGTATAATATATAATATAGTATAATATATAATATAGTACAATATATATATATAATATAGTATAATATATATAATATAGTATAATATATATATAATATAGTATAATATATATAATATAGTATAATATATATAATATAGTATAATATATATAATATAGTAATATATATAATATAGTATAATATATATAATATAGTATAATATATATAATATAGTATAATATATATAATATAGTATAATATATATTATACTATATTATATATATTATATTATATATATTATATTATATATATTATATATATATATATATATTATATATTAATTTATATATATATATATATTATATTATATATATTATATATATTATATATTATATATATATTATATATATTATATTTTAAATTATATATATTATATATTATATATATAATAATATATATATATTATACAATAATATATATATATATATAATATAATATATAATACATACAATATATATAATATATACAATATATATATATAATATAATCTATAATATATATATAATATAATCTATAATATATATAATGTATATAGTATATATAATATATCTAATATATATATAATATAATATAATATATATAATATATAGTATATATAATATATCTAATATATCTAATATATCTAATAATGGTGTCTATATTTAATTTATAATATGTATAATATATTTATATATGTATAATATAACATATTTATTAGTCATATGTCATTCAGATGCAAAGATCGCCCCAGCCACAGTCACTGCTGGAGGTTATTCCAAACAACCCGACCATCTTCTTGGTTGTGCAGGCAGGGCCACAGAGAAATGGTTTCTGGATGTTTCTGGAAAATTCTGGATGCCTTGTACCCGTCCAGTTGTCCAGTTCTTCAACATGGAAAAATCCACAGCTCATCAGCCAGTTACCAAGCTGACAGCTGGCAGCCAGCGCCGAGGTCGTCCTCAGTACCCTTTGCCTTCTTCTACTATGCTCAGTCAGGTTGCAAGACCGACAAAGTCAAGCAACTTGCGTATTGAGGAAGCGTTGTATTACCTGTCAGATCCTGTCAGTTGTTACTTGAATATCTTGAATCAAAGCAGTCGCCTCCGACTTTTTCTGACATGGAGAGGATGAAGAGGTTCAGGATTGCAAGATGCTATCTCGATCTAGCTTGGCTGTTGCAGGTGGAAGCGCAAAGAAATCAATTCAGAGGTTCGACAAGCCGAACGACGTTCCCTGTCCCCCTTTGTCAGAAACCTGGGCGCGACAGGATGACAGCAGCGACGACGAAGACGTATCCAGAGCAAGGCCACAACAGGGATCCAACCCAGACCCTGCGATGTGTGTCAGCCGTCAATTAGTCTGGTGGGGTGAACAGCGTTAACCTTTGAAACATCTTTTTGAGTCCTCGGTTGATTTCCTGGTGCTCTTGGTTTTCATCCTCTTCCATCCTTTGAACTAGACGACGGATGGCCCGAAATTACTCAGGTGTAAGTAAGTAGAAGAAAAGACGAGACATTGAAACATGTGTACTGATGCAGAATGACAGCAAGAAGATAAAAAATGCAAGAGCATGGCTGTATGAAGGAGACAAGGTAGTAGGAACAGAGTGACGAACGGAAAGAAAAGGTGGAGAAGATGTAAATGTGAAGATGTAACACAGACGCTTTTACACACAGACGCTTTGACACAGAGACGCTCTTGCCCAAAAACGTTTTTACACACAGGCGCTTTTACACACAGACGCTATTACATACAAACACTTTTGCACACAGGCGCTACACACAAACACTTTTACACACAGACGCTTTTACGCACAGACGCTTTTACACTCGGACGCTTTTACAAAAACACTTTGTGTCACACAGACGCTTTTAAAACACATACACTTTTACACACAAAGGCGCTTTTCCACAGACTCCTTTACACACAAACACTTTTACACAAATACGCTTTTACGCACAAACACTTTTACGCACAGACGCTTTTGCACACAGATGCTTTGAACACACGCTCCTTTATACACAGATGCTTTGAGCACACGCTCCTTTACACACAGGCGCTTTTACACACAGGCACTTGCACACACACAGACGCTTTACACACGGACGCCTTTTACACACAGAGGCCTCTTACACACAGAGGCTTTTACCAAAAGACGCCTTTACACACAAATGCTTTTACACACAGACGCTTTTGCACAAAGACGCTTCTACACACAGACACTTTTACACACGGACGCTCTTACCCAAAAACGTTTTTACACACACAGACGCTTTTACAGACAAACACTTTTGCACACAGGCGCTGCACACAAGCACTTTTACACATAGACGCTTTTGCGCACAGACGCTTTTACACACGGACGCTTTTACACAAAGGCACTTTTACACACAAACACTTTAACACACAGAGGCTTTTACACACAGATGCTTTTACACACAGACGCTTTTACACACAGACGCCTTTCCACACAGACGCCTTTTACACACAGACGCCTTTTACACACAGACGCCTTTCCACACAGACGCCTTTTACACACAGACGCCTTTTACACACAGACGGCTTTTTACGCAGACGCTTTTACAAACAGACGCCTTTAACACGAAAATAGAGGCTTTTACATACAGACGCCTTTTACACACAGACGCCTTTCCACACAGACGCCTTTTACACACAGACGCCTTTTACACACAGACGCCTTTCCACACAGACGCCTTTTACACACAGAGGCCTTTTACACACAGACGGCTTTTTACGCAGACGCTTTTACAAACAGACGCCTTTAACACGAAAATAGAGGCTTTTGCACACAGACGCCTTTTACACACAGACGCCTTTTGCACAGATGCTTTTACACACAGCCACCTTTACACACAGACACTTTTGCACACAGACACTTCCACACTCACACACACAAGCCCCTTTGCCACCACGAGCGTGGCCCCCAAGTCCTATCAATATTGACAGAAGGAGCTGTTTCGCCCCTCGATTTGTGTCCTCTGTACATTCGCCATTGTTTTCGTCGGTGCTGCTCACTTGGCTGGATTTTTATTTACTTTGGCTTTGCTGTTCTCTGTGCCTCTTGGAGCATTAGGTGGACGTGTATGTGCTGGATCTGGCACCTTCACTGTGCTCTAATTTGCCTTACCTTCACTGACATTGTACACGGTTTCATTGAGCCTTTCTGCCGTGGGGGCGTTTCAATTTGGACATACATTTTCTATTTTACCTGGTTTGCACTCCCCTGCCAGTGTTGCGTGCCCACTGGAAATCCCGGTGTGTTACCCGTGCCCCGCAGTATCCAGGGGGAGAAGAGGCATTGGCCCACGTAGGCTGTGACACCCCCCCCACCAAAAAAAGGAGGCAATGGCCCACGTAGGAGAGACTCATTCTGTTGCTTCCCCAACCAAAAAAAACAAAAAAAAACGGAATTTAGTTGTTCAGTTTCACAATGCAGTCCAACGTGGTACACTCCTTTCGTGGGTCGTATCCAGAGACTTGCTCGTGCTGGCAGATGCCCCATAGCAGTTGACTCCATCACGACAGTCAACGCCCCAGGCACCAATGCAACTTGCCATGAGGCTCGCTTCCCAGATATGCAGCATTTCTCCCTTTTGCACCCCATCCAGGCAGCTGCAGACTTCGAGATAGCTTTTGCTGTCCCAACCGATGACCTGCCATGTCCAATCAATGCCACTTGCAAGTACTCCCACTGACGCGGGAATTTTGACATCAAGCTGCCGATGCAATTTTTCACAATTGTTGCGCTGCAGTAATCAATTCATTTTTTATTTGCTGTACTGGTACAACATTGTACCTTGCACTTGCTCCAGTGTAACACACTGTTGGTGGTCAGGAAGTTCA